TAAATCGATTTATGACTACAATTGAACAGTGGTATACTACTATTGCCTTTATTTATCCTATATATCATTGCACTAAATACTATACTTTATTTGGACTTTTTAACCTTTTTCTATTCGAGCCTAACTAGTGACTCTGTTGTAGACAAAACGCACGTCTGGCGTGCAAAATTTCAATCCTGGTATCTTTGATAAGTTTATTTAAATCATCGATTTTTGTTTTGTCATTTTTTATATTTTAATATGATTTTATCTAAAAATTATAAAAAATTGAGCAATATGCTGGACCAAATATAACCCTTGTATTAACCAATTATACAGTATGCTATTTAGGAATGTTGTGTGCTTACTATGCTAATTAATATTACCATATTAATTAGTTTAAGCACTTAATTGTGTTACAGTTGGAATAAAAAATGTATGTGAAATAAATATTGGCTTCCTTTACATTTTCTAAATGTCTATTTGATACTTTGCAACCCTGTCGACTGCATTTTGAAATATAGAAAATAACATTGATTTATTTTCACCGTGACTGACCTTTTCCTTCCCTTGAAAGGTTGTTAGGAAAGATCTAAAGTGAAGAAAGCATCTTACTGTTCCCTATACATAAATAAAGTCCTGAATAGTTCTTGTAGACTGTTTGCTTTTAAAACATCTTTTTCTATGGTCATGGTCATATTTGAAATCTTCGATTCGTTTTTGTAACTGTCCTCTTTTACAACAAACCACCGAGACCTTCAAAACTTCATATACTTGCAAGTATTTAAGGAATGACTGTAATATTTTTTCTGTCTATGAAGAAATAACATCAAAAATGTGGTGCACACTGAATAACCAGCGTAGCGGGTTATTTTAAAGTGTGCACCACATTTTTCATGTTATTTCGAATAGACAGAAAAAATATTACAGTCATTTCTTATAATTTAATTCTAAATTCCATTTTAAACCAGAGTAAACAGTGAAAAAACGTTGAAGACGTCACGGTCACATGACAAAATTATGTCTATGAGCTGATAAACAAAACAACGTCAGCCAATCAGAAGACGTGTTACTTCCAAAATTAAATTATTTATCAATAACCAATCAACTATATGCTGACAAAATATGGATTTTTAAGTTCTATAGTGTTTTCTTTTTTTGATTATTGCCTAAAATGATAGGAATCGTGTAAAGGCAAACTTTTAAAACGTTTTTTGTGCATCTTGGAAAAATATTAACGGCTCATGGAAGCCTTAATTGCTCATATTGTAAAAAATATGATATATTGATGTTAACATTAAAATCATGATAAAAAGTCATTAACGAAAGTTAACACTAACTTTAATAAATCTTCTGTTGCTTATCATTTTCACTGTTTAAGATTTTAGTTTCTTGCCAATTTGTACATTATCCCTTCGATCTTACTGTCTAACATTTTTGATATCACGGACAAGACCTGATTTTTGAAAAAATAAGGCAATGACGTCACGTATCTGTGCAGCAACGTTGCGTGTTCATATCCATTCATGTCAATGTATCTATGACATGCAAGCAATTTCATTCATTACAACCAAAAAACTAAAACGTTTTCTATGCGTATAAATAATTTATTAACTATTTCAATTTATTCCACATCCTCAGCAAGAATAAACATATTATTAAGACAAATTGCAGATAAAAAGAATAATGGCCTTTTATTTTTTCATTCTGGGTTAATCAACTCGAATATCAGCTCACACTACAGTGCTCGCTTGATATTCTTGCTGATAGAGTCATTTTTAGAAACAAAAAAAGAAAATATTCTGGACCTATCTCCGGTAGATTTCAACGTAAAAGGTGAAATTCTTCAATTTATATATATCAACAATAGTCATTTCAGGATGAGAAAAAATGGTCCAATTTATAGATAAGTCATTATAGCGAAGCAAGTAACATTAGTTAGATTTATGTTGCGGTCCTTTTAATTTTCTTTGTTATCAAAATGCAACTAACGCATAATTCTGTTAATATTAATTTGTAAAATAAAAGTTACACACTGACTGTTTAATTCTTGAATATGAGGTGCACGTTAATTTCATTGAAGAAATAAACAAACAACGAAAATTCACTTAAAAATAAAAAGATTCAAATAAACAGGGTAACATTTATGCACTATATGCTGCAAGGTTATCAAAATTTCAATAAGAGACTGATTTTGTATAAGGATTTTTTTCACAAGTTTGTTCTCCTTATACAAAAACTGGTCTACTACAGTTTTAAGGGGCCTGCTGAAGCACGCATCCGGAAGCTTGATTTTCTTGCTGTGTTGAAGTATCATTGGTGCTCTTTGGTGGGTTTGTTGTCTCTTTGACACATTTTCTATTTCCATTCTCAATTTTATTATGAAAAAGATCGACTAAAATCGGCACTACATCTTAAGGTGCATCTGTGTCTCAAATCACTATTTTCATGCTTTTGCGATCTTAGATCTCTAGATACTAGGATAGTTATTTGATTTTTAGATTTACAGATTGTATCTCATTCCCGATAGTGACATTTTAACTGAGTATGTATTCGCGTGGTGGGTGATGCTTGCACCCCTTCTCTCTTCTTTAGAGTTTATGCGACTCATTCCTTTTTTGTTTAACCTTGGTTTGTATCTTCTTATCCTATGAGTTTTATTGTCCCGTTGGTATCTTTCGCCTCTTTTATACCAAAGTCATGCCTTTTTCTATATTGCATCACAAATGTTAGAAATTTGTATCTTCTGTCGTCATGGTTATGTTCAGTTGCATATGTTTCAATTGGTCATTTTTTTTATCTACTGAGGTGTTGATTACTAAAGCATTTACTTAGTAAGAATAAATTATTGCTTGCTTTTAAAAATAGTATCATATTTGGTAAACTTTCAAGACAGAAAATTACCCATAAAACACGCAGAACTAAGACATTATTCATATATAGGAAGGTCATTGCATATGTATATTTACGGATACCACGAATTAAATGTAATTGATTAGAGGACTGGAAACAGAAACAAATGATGATTTCAATAAATAAGATATATGAAATTCCGGCACTGTTCTACTCCGTTTTTAGAACACCCTGTTCAAAAAGACCAACTGAGCTATACTCATCACTTGAGTCCTTCGACGTTGAGTCTCATCCTTTTTTCGTCGTCTGTCATCTGTTATAATTTTTCAACAGTTTTCCCCACTGAAGCCAAACTTTGCAATAACCAACCTTTAGATATATAAGTTTGAAAATATGTTCGATAATCCAACCTGCCAACCAGTATAGCCGAAAAGGCTAAGAATAGAATATAGATGTAAAATTCAAGTCGATCATTTTCAGTGATAATAACACTCAATTAAATTCGTTCGTCCGAAGTACTTTTCTGGATTTACCTTCATCAGGAACATTTATAAGCCAAATTACGATGGATAATATTTAGAATGTCACGATCTAAAAATTGTTTGTTTTTACCAATATTGTCAAATGACTCCTGAATGTCATTAAATGGGGTCTTTAACCGTCTTTATTTTTATTTATCTGACTTCATGAATTACTAATATCTGTCTAGGAAACTTTAAATGGTCACTCGACTACTTTTTGAATTGCAGGTATTGTCACAAAATGAAGATTTTTGTCTTTTTTTTCAATTATCTTGAAAACGTCATCATAGCCAAAATTGCCAGTCGACAAAAGCCTTACAGGTGGTTTGCATTTAAATGACAATTGATACCCATTTTGCATTTTTAAACAAAATTTGTAGTAGATGATGAGAAATCGTCACAGCAAAATCTGATCAGGAAGAAAATGTCTTAAAAAGGTTTACAAAAAACAAACAAAAATGTCAGTACATTTCTCATTTGAGTAACTTTACTTTTTGGGGCCCTTGATAGCTTGCTGTTCGGTGTGAGCCAAGGCTCCATGTTGAAGACCGTACTTTGACCTATAATGGTATACTTTTTTAAATTTTGACTTGGATGGAGAGTTGTCTCATTGGCACTCATACCACATCTTCTTATATCTATTAAATGACAAATGTGTTTACCAATCCTTTCCCGGTACGGGCAGAAACTGTATAAAAGAGATATCAGCAAACGAATTCAACGAGGATAGATATTAAAGCCCTGAACTACATTCTAGTGCATAATGCATATCTCTGGTTCCTTGTCCGGATTTGACTTTACTTTCTTTTTTCTTTTTTCCAAGCTCCTCAATGATTGTATTACATTTTGGATTTTCTCATATAATGTACACCACTGAAGAGACATGATTTGTCGAAATGCGCATGTGGTGCAGTAAAATTGATACCGTTAATATTATCGGTAGTGTTGAAGAGGGACGAAAGATACCAGAGAGACAGTCAAACTCATAGATCGAAAACAAACTGACAACGCCATGGCCAAAAATAAAAAGACAAACAGACAAATTATAGTACAGATGACACAACATAGAATACTAAAACCTAAGCAACACGAACCCCACCAAAAACTGGGGGTGATCTCAGGTGCTCCGGAAGGGTAAGCAGATCCTGCTCCACGTGTGGCACCCGTCGTGTTGCTTATGTTATTACAAATCCGGTAAATAGTCTAATTCGGTAGGTCATATTCGTGAAAAGGGAAGGGTATTGTAGTTGCGACATAAGGAACATGTCCGATATCATCTGTGAAACGGTTGACGATGCACATTGATCCAGGCGAGCCTTACACTATGTATAGCCTGTAGTTGTAGTTTGTCCAAAAAAAAATGACGAAGCCTTACTAGCCTAATTGCAAACTAGAATGCACAGATTTGAGTTCCTTGACACAAATTTGAGTTACATGACGTCACATTGTATGATGTTATGGTTTTTTGTATTGTTTGGTTGTCGACTCATTAAAATATAACATGATATACCCAAGTGATAATTATCTTCAGGGTGTTGCATTGTCTTATGTAGTTACACGACCCAAGGGATATCAAGTGAATGATATCATTTTCAGTGCTTTAACTTGAACCAACGAGTACAGTTCACATAAAAAATCCACATTTTATTTGAGTTTAATAAATTTTAATGATATAAACATACACTTTTCTATAAAAAAAAGTCTAAAATATTTAAACTTTAATCATAATAGTTGAGACTAATAAAGGAAGGAGGAGCCCAATTCAGCACGGTGAATAAATTCACCTAAACGGTTTGTTGCGAAAGAGGAATCATTATATTTTTTTTTATAATACAATATCTATAGTCAAGGGGACTGTGTACATTTATATATTCCAACTTTTCTCCAATGTCGTGTTCTCAATTACAAGAATTGATTAATTCTAATTGACATCTTTTTTACAGTATTCTAAATAGAACTGTAAAATGAATATGTTATCCTTTTTTATCATAACACTCAAATATATATCTTTGACCATATCTATAAACATGATCATAATACTTTGTCCTAAAAACAGCATCAAATATAGATGTAATCAGATTGCTATCAAAATTCAATTTTTCCTATCATTTTTAAGTAATATATCATAATTATAATGTGATATATGGCAGCATTTTGAAAATTACCGAATGCGTACGTTTCCTCAATGGACGCAATATAATATTTATATGATGACTCGAATCGTCCTACAAGAAAGTTGCAGCATCCTAGTAAATTCAGAGCTCTAAATCGTTGCATTCCTCCTTTGGCTTCATCCACTGACGTGTCTAGTTTTTGCAGATGTTCCAGTGATTTGCTAAGGTTTCCGCAGTTGTAAAATGCGATAGTCATTATAAAATACATATACACAACTGGGTGTATCACGATAAAGCCATCAAATTCGTTTTGGACGAGGATACATTCAAACTTGACAGGGTGAGGAACAAATGAAACATCATCCGCAGAAAATGTTACATCAAATCCTACAGCATTATTTAGACATATGTCTTCCTGTATAAAAGGGCATTCAATTTGACGACATATGCTAGAAGACACCTTGATCCCTTTCTTCGGAGAGCACCACCCTGGATATATAAAAGAAGCGCCATTATGTTTTATCATTAGTGATTCTAAGACTGTAACTGCCATTTCGGTTTTGTTAACATTCAGATAAAATGTCGCAAGATAAAGATACCCAGACAGTGCATCTAATTCTTTTCCTTTTAAAACGAAAACTTCTGCATCTTTTCTCAGCATTTCAAAGTGTATTCTGTTTTTGTCTTTCTTTGATTCTTTCTGGAAAGATATTCCAAGCCGTAAAGCTAAAAACTGGATCAGAAAACAGAAAAAATCCTCATCGATATCACTAGCTTTCTCTGTTTAAAAATATTTCCATTGTCGACATAAAGTTTCGATTTCTGATTCCACCATTGATATGAAAACACTAAAGGCTTGTTTAAATAAGCTAAATAATTCATTTTGATAACATGTTTTAGAAAACGAGGGTCCTAAAAAGTCTAGACTTCTACAATATCCTAGAAACCCTGCTGGATCCTCACTGCTCTTTGCCAATGCTCCGTCCAAATATGGTTGGTTTAGGAGTTTAATGACTATAGGTAAAACATTTTCTTTTAGTTGCTTCATTTTATTTAGAACCACGAGCTTTCCTTTTGGATCGATGAACTTCTCAAATAGCAAATTTCGTTTTCGATGAAAGTAATGGTGTAGCTCTCCTTTTTCTATGCAACCTGAAACAAACATCAGACAATGTTTTACAAGCTCTAATAAGTCGTACCTAGTCCATTGTGTTATATCGTCAGTTTCCGAGTACCAGTAAACTGCTGTTTTCATATGATACGAACTGAGCTGATCGGGATAAAGAGGTTCGATCTCTGATTTCACAATTCGTTTTAACAAAAAGTACAGTTGAATTTGAATATCACTGAAACTCCAAACTAGCTCTAATTCACATAGCAAAAATGACATGCGCCATTCGAGATGCTGATGGTTAGAGGACTTGTCCCCCACTGGAACAAGATGACAATCAAAATTGGATATTTTCTCAACCAAGTCTTTCCCAGGCCAACAATAATTTCTTTGTCTCGTAATCCACTCTTTTGCTTCTTCTGGCCATTCTTCCATCAAAAGCCCATGAGAAAAGTCTATTTCAATTTCAGTACCAGACTCCCCAGCAACATACCCATGAGAATCAGTTTCTACGCAAGTTGCAGCAGGTCCGTGTCTGTAATGAGTCGGCAATGCTCGTTTATCGGGAGGAATATTTGCTGGAATATCAAGCAGAAACTGGTGGAACTTCTCACTAGAAAGCAATAAATTACCTCGTTCATCTTTTTCAAGCAAATCTCTAATATCCTTCTGGTACATTTGAAATAAGTCATAATCTGAGTTTTCGATGTGAACTGGTATAAGTGTTGTGAATCCAGGTCGACAGCTGTTTGAGTTCATTTCGAAAATATGACAGTTCATTTTCTGTGTGGTATTAACACCAGAGCAGACGATAACGCCTGGAACCACCATCATTTTATCAATGTCACTTTCTATGGTAGAAGTGCCTTCGGCGCTACTTCCACCGTGATACTGTCGCAATATTTCGCTTTTAGCAAAATAGAATTCATCGATGCTGTGGATGTGGTTTCTATGAATATTTGCAATTTTTCTGCTGATTCCTAGTCCTTCTAAATGTAAGGCTTTAGAAATTATATCAGATATATATTTAACGTCTTCCATTATAATATGCTTCTTGCAGACTAGATATCTTGCTGTATGCTCTACGTGTTCTTAAATCGGTTTCGTCTTGATTTTGAAAAGTGTGCTCTACACATCGACCATTTAACACGCAGAACTTAAAAGCGTAATACTAATAGTGTTTTATCTACAAAGTAAAAAAAAACACATGTTTGAAGAAAAAACATTAAAAGGACATTATATTTTAGTTGTCAAATTTCTGTTCACCGATTTGACTCAAATTCTCATATTTGATTTATAAGATATTAAAACGTATATCCAAATTACAAAAAAGTATAAAATAAACAATTAACAATACATAGATAACACGTATCAACATTTCGTGTGAATTTAAGTCTAGACGTCATCTCATTAACTATCCAGGTGCCCTCCAATGACTACCGACGGTAATATAGCTCGATATAAACATAAATTTGCAACTGGATTTTTCTATGTCTGTTTGATTTCCTATTAAAGGTTAAAAAATATGTTAATCATAGTTTTAACCTGTATATAAGAATGATTTTTTTGTGGATTGAATCAGTCAACCAAATAGTTCACCCTTGTTTCACTTTCAATGTTGACATTCGTTTACTTAATATCTGAACACGCCTAGTACATGCGTAAACCTTCTCTAGCTAAGGGGTTAAATTGAAGGTCACAAGAATACGGATTCAATGAGGTTAAATTGTTGACTTGCAAGGCAATAATACATCAGCGATGGGTTTTTTTAGCTAATTTTGATAAATTTGGCCGAAACTGGCTGCTTATATTATAACGAAACTTTATTTAAAAATTCCGCTTATATTAATACTTTAAACAAAAAGAATCGTAGTGTTTGCCTAAATCGTGGTTAATGTTCCTATAACATATTGAAAACCTACATACGTAAGTTAATGCACAAAACTTTGAGTATTGTGAAGTAAGTGGTGGGTTCGTTATTAATATTCAGAATAACAATATTAAGATTTTATTCATAAAATGGCTTACCATATTTCAAATCGTTATGGATGGAATGCTAGGTGGCAACTCGCGCGCAACTCCGCAAGTCAAAGATTACTATTACGGGATAGGCTCTTTGGTAATGAACATGCGTATTAATGAAGGTTAATCCAGATTCCAGTATAACACGAGTTGTGCACTCGGAACATTGAAAATTAAAAACATTAAATACATTTGTTCTCGAGGTTATTGAAGTGTAAACATGGTTTTTCACTCAAGAATTTAATTTAGAAGTCCCCGATCCATACTTTTATTCGGTTTGTGAGTTATTTGGCACAGCTAGGATAGGATGAAAACGTACGTATGTTCCGGAACATAAAATGTACGAATTAACCGTGTACAAAAGTGAAACTAAATTCAATATTTTTGAAAGGACAGGTTAAATTGACCTTACCTCTATCTCTTCTAATACATTCGCTTGTGAAATTAGAACTATACTAGTTAACCTGAAATAAAATATTATTATCTCTTTTATATATAGCATTGACCTAGTTTACTTTTAATCGTATTGAACCATAGTTTAAATCAATCTTTTGTCAAGGGCGATTCATATGAGAGGGTCTGGATGGGGTTTACAGAAAAGAGAATATTGTCCAATTCTACAGAAAATGGGACAGAAAATAAATAATAGCGAAAAAAAATCCACAAAAATACGAAATTGAGAAAAAAAAAGTCCATAAAAATAAAGAATAGAGAGAAAAAGGTCACAAAAATAAAGAGTAGAGAATAATGGACAAAAAAACATAAAGAAAAGAGAAAAAAAACTTAAAAAATTAAACAATACAGACCTGAAGGATCCCTATGAAGACCCTCGTATAAATTTGACAAGAACTTCTGTCTACGTTTTATCCGAATATTGGACGTCGTCCTGGTCGTAAACACGAGAATATTGACATGCTGTGTGTTTGCTTAGTATTATAAACCAAAGTTCAAAGTTCTGTATTTCTAGTAACGCCCCCTCCCACCAGAAACAATAACAACAATACACAATACATCAGCAGTGCTGTCAATACAAACAAACTAACATGAACGTGCTAGTCAAAAGAGGGAGTTGTTAACATTCTGTAGTCTGAGTTCTCCAATACAATATTGATTCTTAGATAGTCTGGACATTGCAAAAGACCGTACTTTGACCTATAATGGTTTACTTTTATAAATTTTGACTTGGATGGAGAGTTGTCTCATTGGCACTCATACCACATCTTCTTATATCTATTGAGCTATAAAAGCAAACATATCATAGGATTGCTATTAGATAAACTCACCTTGAGGGGAGTTAACCTTGCTCCGTCATGCAATATTTTTTGTTGAATTAAAACCAAATCTGGGACCGATAAAAATGTCTGTTCTTTTACCACACAGACGTATCAATCATTTTGAAATAATATCTTCTCTCTGAGATTCTTTGGTCATTTAAATATACGAAAGCTTTTTTTCAAAAAGGGACAATACAAATGGTGTTCCTTGACGGAATTGTATCAGGCGATATACTCGATTTTGAGACTTGACATATATTGTATACATTGTTGTAATTTCGGTTAATCTAGAAAAATGATCGTGGAAGAATAAGTAATGGCGGTCAAGTATTGCGACATAATCTGGAAAGATCTGGTAAAGGGTCGTGAAGGAAATCTTATAGAGAAAACACACCCAAGGTCAATAGAGAATGTATGTAATATATATGTGCGAGTCAAGGCTCCGTGTTGAAGGTCGTACTTTGACCTATAATTGGTTACTGTTTACACATTGTTACTTTCATGGTGAGTTGTCTCATTGACACTCATACCACATCTTCTTATTTCAATGTATCAAGTTGCATTTGTCATTTTGGGGCATTTTGTAGCTTGATAAGCGGTATGGGTTCTGTTCATTGATGAATGCCGTATGGTGACCTACAGCTACTAACCGCGCCTTCTACATCAGTTGGCCGCTGGTGGAGAACAGAATTATCCATATGTCCCGTGAAGGATGAAATTGCAAGACTTTTAACATACAAGTTTGTTAATTTTTTTTTCTCTGTGAATGACTATGGAAGTACACTTGTATATGAATATAATAAAAACTATTTCATATTTGAGTTTTTTTCTAAAGTTTTGTAGAAAATGAGGTATTATAATTTACCAAATTACCAATTACACCAACAACAAAATATATAGATATAAGAAGATGTGGTATATGAGTGTCAATGAGACAACTCTCCATCCAAGTCACAATTTGTAAAAGTAAACCCTTATAGGTCAAAGAACGGCCTTCAACACGGAGCCACATCAAGCTATAAAGGGCCCCAAAAATGACTAGTGTAAAACCATCCAAACAGGAAAACCAACGGTCTAATCTATATAAAAAACGAGAAACGAAAAACAATTATGAACCACATCAACAAACGACAACCACTGAACATCAGGTTCCTGACTTAGGACAGGTGCAAACAAATGCAGCGGGTTTAAACGTTTTAATAGGCGACAACCTTCACCCTAACCTGAAATAATAGTGTTACATCATAACTTACATAGAAAGACACACTTTAAAATATCAATTGCAATGGCTTAACTCAATCAAAAGACATATTAACAAAAACAAGTGAACATACACTGAACGAATAGATTTGATCTATGACACAATGTAAATACAAAATTAATAAAACAAGGGGGTTAGATGTAAAACAATATCAGAAAGACAACCATAACCTTGGACAAAATGCCGCCAAATAAAATAACATACACAGGTAAATAAAACTAAATTTGTTGTAAGGTATACATGGAGTACGGAAATAGTTTTACAAAATAAATAATTTTGTTGTTCATAGTACGAGAACAGAAGTGAAAATTTATCGTCATACTAAACACTTATCAAAGGTGGTAAATATTAGAAATAGTGAGACGAGATATACTAAATAAGTAAACATTAAATAACAAAAATACATTACAAATAGTATCAACAGGTCAAATAACACGAAAGTACGATTTGCGAGTACTCGCAGTTACTGAAAGCTAGTTAAAAGCCAAAAACAATTGATAATAAAAAATCATGCATCAGAGACTAGAATCAACTAAAACACATCCCAGGGATTGAGAGCTTTAACGTCATGGATAGTCAAAGAAGACATGACGTGTGCAATGCCAAAATAAAAGTATCGACAGGCAGTAGGATAGTTTGGAGTTAACCTTTTAATAAATATGTTTAATGTTATATATAGATAGAGTAATCTCTATATAGAAAATGAACGTGGGTGTGTATTTATACATCCCAAAAAAACGTTTAAAAAGAATACAAATTTAGTTATGTTTTAATTTGCTGATGACAAAATCGATATTTGTGCCAATGTAAACTATATTCAAAGATCTAATTACAACATTGGTAAGATAACCTTTACTAATAAGTTTGTTTAAAGGTTCGTTGAGTTTAGTCGGATCAAATAGTGATTTCCGCGCTTTTAGTACAATATAACCGTAAAATTTAGGATGTGAAATACCGTTTTTAATAAGTTTTCAACAGGTACAGCCAAATTTACTAATCAAATCTTTGTATCTATGAAAGAATTTAGTAAAAGTTTTAAGTAATTTGTGGTACCTAACGAAATCCCTGACTTAATAATTTACCAGTGATGCATTGATTACGTTCGTTAAAATCTATGACATCACTACCCACACGGGCATAACGAACGAGTTGAGATTTATAAACACCGTATGATGGAGCCAAATTTTATTAAGGAACAACTCCGTCTAAAAAAGGAAAATTAACAATAGGGAATGAAAAATCGTCTCTTTTGTCGTAAATTTTAGTATGGAGTTTCCCTTTAGAAATTGAAATGTTTAAATCTAGAAAAGGACAACTACTGCTGCTTATGTTAGATTTATTTAAAGTAAGTTCCTTTAGGTAAATTTCGGTAGTATATTTAGAGAACTCTGGATTATTTAACGAAAAAATATCATCAAGATAACGGTAGGTATTGTTGAATTCATCAACCAAATGTAACAATGACGTGTCTTTACTGAGTTTGGTTATAAACTGAGATTCATAGCAATTCAGGAATAAATCTGCTATTAAAGGGGCGCAGTTAGTGCCCATAGGAATACCTACTACCTGTCGATACACTTTATCGCCGAAACGTACATATATATGTTCTGATTAAGACATCCTACACTAAAATCATTTTCTGATACAGGTTAGATGTGGTATGAGAGTCAATGCCACCAGAGACCAAATAACGTAGATGTAAGCAACTGGAGCCTCTGGCCTTTGTTAGTCTTGTATGTTTTTAAATTTTAGTTCATTTATATGTTTTGGAGTTTAGGGTGACGTCCATTTTCACTGATCTAGTACACAATTTTATTTAGGGGCCAGCTGAGGACCACCTCCGGATGCGGGATTTTCTCGCTGCGTTGAAGACCCATTGGTGGCCTTCGGCTGTTGTGTGCTCTTTGGTCGGGTTGTTGTCTCTTTGACATATTCCCCATTTCCATTATCAATTTTAACTATTGATCACCATACGGCTTCCAGTGATGAGCAAAAGCCTAAAATTTGGTATGGTCACACATTGTTTTCACGATCAAACGCATAGCCTGATCTTTCACAATCAATTTTTATTAGAAATTAACAAAACCTTCTTTTGAAAAAGGTTAACTTAACCGTTTCAAGGAAAACATCAATTTCATTTTACTGTAGTATCTGACACACAAAATATTTGTTTCAAATGTATCATGATTTCTGAAATATTTTTGCGTTATCCAATAAAAAAAAACAAGACCAATACTGGACCTGCATCGATGCATGCATTTGATTAAGGTAACATGTATACTGTAGCATACTGCAGTATACTCTATAGAGGCCAAGAAAACGTTGTCGAAAATTTCAAACTATTGGCAAACATGCAGTGGTTGCACTGCTGAAGTAGAAATTACTTACACGTTACAACTCCGCATTAATCCGCTGTACCTAGCTCCAGACTAAATATTAAATAAATTCCTTCGATAAAAGACAAGAAAAGTTTGACAAAAATTTTCCTTGTACAATAAGTGTTGTTAATTTTAAAACTATCGAAAAACAGTAAATGGTTGCACGTAAAAATTGTGTACATGTACCCTAGAACTCAACGTTATCAAGCTGCACGTCAAATACTAAAACATTCCCTTTCATAGAAGTCAAGAAAAATTTGACAAACTATCATTGTACAATGAGTGTTGTAAAATTTCAAAACTATCGGCAAACAGGAAGTGGCTGCACAGCAGATGTAAAAATTGCTTCCACTGTACATAATCAAGCTCCAGACCAAAAATAAAATACTTCCCTTACATAGAAGCCAAGAGAAGCTTTATGAAAATTGTCTTTATATGTACAGTGAGTGTTGTAAAATTTCAAACTATCGGCTAACAAGAAGTGGCTACACAGCTGATGAAAAATTTGCTCACTAGGTACAACTCAACATTATCAAGATCAAGACCAAATATGAAATCATTCCATAGAAGCCATAAAAAGCTTGACAAAAGTTAAGTACCCAATGTCTGTTGGACGGGCGGACAGACGGGCGGAGAGAGTGGTGCGGTTGCTAGACGCCGTTGGCGACGCAAGACCGCTATATTTGAATTCTGAATTTAAGCGTGTTGTTCCCATATAATTCGGTATTCTTCACCAAGATTGCTCGATCAGAGCTTAAAGTTTGTAAAGCTGAATTGTAATATATGTCTAGCTATATATATATATATATTAACAGAATTGCCACTTTGTTAACACCAGGTTAACTATATGTGAGATTAATTTGAAAACTTGGCTTAATTATATCTGGACATTGTGTTTTTCGTTGTTGTTTTATCATGTTCATTGGAAATTGGATATGTAGGTATACTGTATAGAAACAGCAACCCAAAAATAACAAAAAGACGTCTAGACGGTAACATACAAAATTAGACCGGTGTCTATACGGAATGTCAAGTTCTAAATCGCCTTTTTTTTTAGGAGAGTGGCGAGTATTGGTTGTTAGTGTAGTGTGTTCAAATGCTTATTTATTTATAATTCCTGCTATATTTTGTATGTTTTATATGATACGTATAGTTATCTATATATAGGAATTCATAAAAATGTGCATAATATTATGCTTCATATTGCAAATACCGAAATATTGAATAGTTTGCAGATGATACACCCGAGGGGTTTTACAGTCCACCATCAGAGATTTACACCAAATAAGATATGAGGTAAAATGTGCCGAGTTTAACTTTGATTTACATTGTACATTGTTTAAATTTTCTGAAAAGGAAACGTACTTTTTGAAAAGACGTTTTTCAGAAAAAAATGATAGTTAATAATGCATAAGCGACTACTGGTATAGGGTTCATGAAGTATGTAAAGTATCAAGTTTTCAATTGAGCTTTCGAGGCCTTTTTGTTTTAACAGTTTGATACCGGCTTTGGTAAAATCTGTTTTCTGACCATTTATGTATATCATTTAGTCTTAAACGGTCGTTTTGATCTTAACATCTTTTAAAAAGTATGAACAATTTTTATTCAATCAATTTTAGTCTTTCAGTCGAATTTTAGACTAAATTCAGTACTGTTCAGAAAATTCGCTTGTAATGAATTCAGTACTGTTCAGTAGCTTTTCAGACAATTTAGTATGATGTTAATGTGTTCAAGTAAATAACAAAAGCTGAACAATCTGAACATAATCTGAACAGATCTGAATTTACTACAAGCGAAATTTCTGCACAGTACTTACTGAATTTATTGCAGTGGATAAGTATGATGGGTGGATGGATGGCTGATCAATGTCCAGTGGCAAATTGAAAGCATATTCAGGACGAGAACATGATAACATGATATGAATATAAACCCTGCTTTGTACTAGACCGACACGCTGATCCAGATTTTTTAACTTGCTAGTTCACAAGGTAATATGCCACGGGAAGACATGTCACACTACCCGGACACATTATTCTGTCTCCGAGCCTACCAGTCTCTGCTCTTACTTCTAATGTCTCTAATTGCCGCGTGCTTCTTGTGACATAAAATTTAGTTGGGTTTTAATTTATTGATAACAAAATCAATATGTTTACCGATAAAAACAATATTCAAAGATCTAATAGCAATGTTGAATTGGTAACCTGTTATAATAAGTTGTTAAAGGATCGATAAGTTTACCCGGATCGTGTTTAAATTTACGGACTATGTAAACAACATCACCGTAAAAATTAGGATGTGCTATCCTGTTTGTAATAAGTTCTCTACAGGTACAGCCAAACTTCCAAACTAAATCTTTGTATTGATGAAAGAATTAAGTACATATTTTAAGTGATTTGTGGTTACGAAATCCTTGAATTAATAATTTGCCAGTAATATATAGATTACGTTCATTGAAATCCAAAATGTCCAAGTCACTACAGACACGGGCATTGCGAACGAGTTGGGGTATATAAACACCGTAAGATGCAGCCAAAGGAAAATCACCTTCCTTAAAAGGAAAATTAACAATACGGAACGAAAAATCGTTCCTTTTGTCGTAAACTTTTGAGTCTCTCGTTTAAAACTAAAATATCTAGTATAGAACAGTTATTATTACATCCACTTCATTTGAACTTTGTTGGATAGTTGTCTCATTGGCAATCATACCACATCTCATTATTTTCATATTGGTGTTTATATTAGAATTATTTAAAATCAGTTCCTTTGGGTAGATTTCATCTGTATATTTAGAGAATTCTTGATTATTTAACGAAAAAAATATCATCAAAATAATGGTAAGTGTTGTTGAATGTATCAATTAAATGGAATATAGACGGGTCTTTACTGAGTTTGGCCATACACTATGATTCATAACAGTACAGAAACAAGTCTGCTATTAAAGGGGCGCAATTGGTGTCCGTACTGGAATACCTACTAGGCTACAACCTGTTAATAAACTGTATTGCCGAAACGTACATAAATGTTGTCAAGGAGAAAATTTTAGCTTTTAATTATCTCATCACATTTCGAGCAAGTATATCTAGCATATTTACCTTTTTCATAACAGAAGAATGCCTTATATGAGTTGCAGCAGATACATTTGCAATCATATTTTTCAAACGATTATTCAGTTGAATAGGAAACTGGGCTTTTGATTTATAAGATTTATAAGATTGTATGGAAGTGTAGTGTAAAGAGTTGAAAAGTCAAAACTGTCCACCATCAATTCGTGAATTAATGCGTTGCCCGGTCACTCGTTGAATATTTTTCTATATTTGAATTCGTCGATTAGTTATTCTTTTTATTACATTGACAATGGGCTTTTCAATGGAAATAAAGTAGAACTTAATAAGGAACTATATTTTTTCTACGCATTCACAATTTGCTTTGATGCAACGTCATATGACGACAGAGGAGTGAAATTATCGGGTTTATTTCACCAGAGACATATACACATGTGTATATATGTCTCTGATTTCACATTTGAAATTATCGTTTTTTTTCCACTGGGAAATCACGGTAATTCATCGCAACATATGTTCAAGGATCTTACATATAATATAATACTATACAAATCCTTGATATGTTATAAATATCATTACATCGTTATTTTTCTGTAAAATTTCTGTTCATAAAATCAAGGATTTATGTCTCTGGTAAAATCTTACTTTATAAAATTTATAAAATATAAATCCTTAATAAAATGTACTTTATAATCATTAAAAACACTTTTAAGTTTTCCAACCTACAGGCGTAAATGACTAAAATCCTGTTTTTTAGCCCTCCGATTGTTTTTATTGGAGCACCACTGACGAGTCTTAGGCAATAGCCTATAGAGACAAAACCGTGACTGAGAATGTCTTGAATATAACTGATCAAGTAGATGTAACTGTTGGATCTGACCTGGGTTTTCTCACCAAACATTAAAAGAGTCTTTGGTTTTTTTTCCCGATTTCTTCCGTACCCCACGTCTGGGACCAACATATAATTAATTTATTATAATTCCCAGCTCCTATCAAAATCAAATGGTCAGATCTTTACAAGAAGAAAGCATTTAAATTTCGCGCGTTTCAAACATAAACATTGTTTACATCACGCCGGAAGTTGCACGTGGGTATCCCTCGTGGCGTTGTTTGGTTCGCCATTTTAGGTCGTAACCTGGTTGTTCGAACGGGTTTCGTCGTTGAATGGGTGCTGGATACCATCATGAGCGATGAAGACAGGGATGTTGATATAGAAAGCGATGTAATTGACCTTTATGTCCACCATTTTTATCATTTCCTAGTTTTTTAATCGTGAGCATGACGTCTTGATAACATTTTATTTGACCTCAAAATTTCCTCAATGTATACATTACAATGTTGTCTCGTTTTGATTTTGTAGGAGGACGATGACGAACTATCCTCAAATGCCAATACACAGTTTATGACACAGGTATAACTAATAAACAACGGTATCAGTGATAGAATTTATTTATCTTTCAAGAAATTGGTATGGAACAGCTTACCATGCATACATTACATATTTAACAATATATATATATGTATAATCCTGTTTATAATTAATTTTATGACACTGTGAATCCCTCTTACAACCATAATATTTTTAAATAAGTGAGGTTTTGAAGTTTCCTACACAAGCATCATCTGTTGATTGAAATATTTGTCACTGGACCTTTAGCAACACACCTTATCCCGACTTAGTCACTTAGCCAACTTCCTGTTTGTGTCAAGTGTCGCAAAAACAAAGGTTATCAGTAATGAGCAGAGGAAGATAAAAGTTTAGGAAGTGAACATTTTGAAATTTTAATAGATTATGATCAAACAATTTCAAACACAAATTAAAGTCATAAAATGCTTAGTTTAAATTTTTTTTTTTTACTGTTTAATAAACAGGGCACCAGATAGCTTCAACTGGTTTCGTGTTGAAAAAATTGTATAGGTTCGGAACTTATCTGACTTCGAATAAATAGCGATTAGATGTATTATCTAAATTTTATCACTTGATCTGGTAAAATCTCATCAAAGATACCAGGCTTTTCATTTGGTATGATAGACGCATGTTTCTTCTACATATGACACATCAGTGGCACCCAAAACATAAAAGTCAAATCAAATAAGAAATTATGGAGCACTGAATTAAAAAATCCCAATTTTTTTTGCCAAATACAGCTATTGACATCTATGCCTTGGGGTAAATATTTATTTAGGATACACAATGTATAAAAAAACACATTTGTATAAATAATAAGTAACAATGTACCTGCATGTATCAGAAGTCACACTGATTACAACTGTTCCTGATATTTGATAAATATTAGATGTGGCATGATTGCCAGTGAGACAACCATCAACCTAAGACCAAAGACAGTTATATATTTGTGTATATTTAGTACAAAATAAAGCTATAAACCATTGATTGATATCTATTCTAAGTCCAAGTCCCCTTGCTGTAAGTTTATTTGTCGATCAATTTCTGCAAAAGGCATATTTACATTTGTATGCAAATTTGTCCATCATTACTTAGTCAAACAAGCTCCTGTAAAATTTTGCATCACAATTTAAAACATTTGACTTAATAATTTAAATGTGATTGTTTCATGAAGCCAGAAGGTTATTCAGAGACAGATTTATGGTCATTCAACAATAAACTGGTGTCTACAGAGTATAAATGAGATCAAAATCATCCTCCGACTTAAAATGGTGAATACAGTAAACAGAAACTTTCAAAGAGTTGTCACTCAAAGTGATCAAAAACAACATTTAGATATGACACAAGGCAACCACTTTAAAAATAAGGAGATGTGGATGGTATGATTGTCAATGAGACAACTATCCACCAAAGTTCAAATAAAGTGGATGTAAGCAATTATGGGCAACTGTATGGCCTTCAACAATGAGAAAAACCTTCTAAACATATTAACATGCATTTTTTATTCCTATTTAAAGCATTACAAATTATTCATCTGTTTTGTTTTAGGCTGAAAAGCGTGCTCATCACAATGCATTAGAGAGAAAGAGGCGAGATCATATAAAAGACAGCTTTTCAAGTCTACGAGATTCAATACCATCTCTGCAAGGGGAAAAGGTATCATCAGTCAAAGTAAATATTCAAATTCAACTAAAGGCTATTCCAGGAAAAAAAATATTGAAAGGTTGAAATGTTATTGAAATATAAAAATCTTCAATTTTTTAATTAATCATGATTTTTAGTGTATATTTGTAAGTTATCTTGACTTCCAATCAATTAATGAAATTTTTTCCTGGAATTTCTCTGTATTAATATTTAAGTTTGTGAATTATATCTTGTGTTTACTTTTCAAAGATTTTGTTTAGTCTTCTTGTGATTTTCTTTGGACAAAAGTTTTTCTCAAACTTCCTGTTCAGATTTTTTTATACGACCGCAAAGTATATTGGTATGTCGTTGTCATCCGAAGACACATTGGTTTTCGCACTCTTACTTTAGTTTAAGTGAATGGATCTCTATGAAATTTTACCATAAGGTTCAATACCACAAAAGGAAGGTTGGGATTGATTTTGGGGGTTATGGTACCAACAGTTAAGGAATTAGGGGCAAAAAATAAGCATTTTTGTAACTTCCAGACATAACTTGTGTGTTAGTGTATGGATCTCTCTGACATTGTACCACAAGGTTCCATATCACAAAGGGAATGCTGGGATTGATTTTGGGGGTAATTGCCTCAAAAGTTTAGGTATTAGGGGCCAAAAAAGGGGCAAAAAACAAGCATTTTTCTAGTTTCATGACAATAACTTGTGTGTAAGTGTATGGATCTTTCTGAAATTGTACTACAAGGTTCCATATCACAAAGGGAAAGCTGGAATTGAGTTTGGGGGTAATTGCCCAAAATGTTTAGGAATAAGGGGCCAAAAATAAGCATTTTTCTAGTTTCCAGACAATAACTTGTGTTTAAGTGTATGGATCTCTCTGAAATTGTACTGCAAGGTACCATATATACCACAAAGGGAAGGCTGGGATTGATTTTGGGGGTAATTGCCTCAAAATTTTAGGAATTAGGGGCCAAAAAGGGGCAAAAAACAAGCATATTTCTAGTTTCAGGACAATAACTTGTGTGTAAGTGTATGGATCTTTATGAAATTATACTACAAGGTTCCAGTTTTTGGGTAATTGCCCTAAACGTTTAGGAATTTGGGGCCTAAAAACAAGCATTTTTCTAGTTTCCTGACATTAACTTGTGTTCAAGTATATGGATCTCTCTGAAATTGTACTGCAAGGTACCATACTACAAAGGGAAGGCTGGGATTGATTTTGGGGGTGATGAATCATAAGGGGTTCAAAAAATTTGGGGGAGGGATTTTTTTTTCTTTAAAATTTTCCATTTTAAATTGGTTATTTCTGATTTATATATAAAAGCAAATAATAATGATATGGTTTGAATAGGTAAATTAAAAATTTTTAAGTTCTTAGACCACATTCATTCTGTGTCAGAAACCTATGCTGTGTCAAATATTTAATCACAATCCAAATTCAGTGCTGTATCAAGCTTGAATGTTGTGTCCATACTTGCCCCAACTGTTCGGGGTTCGACCTCTGCGGTCGTATCAAGCTGTGCCTAGCGGAGCATTTTATTTTGATAAGCACATGGGTAGAAATAAGAGCTCCTGCTGGCCCTCAACTAGCAGATTTTCAAGAGGTTTTACCAAAGTTTTAACTTTCCTATATATGTCATTTATTCAAACAAACAAAAAAAGCAATTTCTTTGAGAGCAAGTAATTTTAAAAAGGAGCTAAGCCAGTTGGGCACCATATTATTTTTACACTGTAAGCACTCACCATGTGACTGATGTATTTTTGAAGTCATGACATATGTCTATAATGTTGTGTGTTTTTGGTTTTTGTAGTAAGATATATTAAAGCCAAATATGAAAATGGAAATTAATTCCATTCACATTTATAAAGCAGGGTCATTTGAAATATTTTAATGTTGATAATCATGATAATGTACTTTATTTGTAAAATATGTTAAAAACATATGTATTCTACATCTATTTAAAATAGGATTTGATTATCTACTTGAATTACACTTAAGTTTATAAACATTCTTTTGTTCATATGCTGTTTTATTTGCTTTTGTTGTTGTTTTTTTATCATGCTGGTTTATTTTGTCGCAACTTTATTATTTGTAGGTGTCAAGAGCACAAATTTTAAAAAAGGCAGCAGATTACATTCAGTTCATCAGACGCAAAAATCAAGGTCATCAATCGGACATTGATGATTTAAAAAAACAGAATTCTACATTAGAACAACAAAGTAAGTATCAACCAAGATCAGTAGTAAGATCATCCAGTCATTACAATTGTCGCCAGACATTGGGCAAAGACCAGTAAAAATTGGTTTGGTCCAGTAAAGTGATATGCATTACTAGACTAAATGACCAGCAAAATTTTTAGTTTTGTCCAAATCATATGTGTAAATGTCCTGTAAAAAAGAGTCTGGTCCAGTTAAAAAGAATGTCCAGTTGATTTCTCAAAGCCTTGGGAACCACTGAACATCTGTGATTTAGATAAAGCCATAGGTTATGTAAGAACATCAAAGTAAAGTGAAATCAAGGTCATCAGTAGGTCATTGATGATTTGAAGAATAAAAATTTCTACATTTGTTATATGGAAACAAGAAATTTGACATGATTCCAATGAGACAACTCTCCACCAGAGACTGAATGACCTAAAAGTTAGCAGCTATAGGTCACTGTAGGGCCTTCAACAATGAGCAAAATCCATACCTCAAAGCATAAAAGCTTTAAAACATGACATGACAAATATATATAACAATTCAAAACCAGAAAACTAACGGCCTGATTTATGTAAAACATAAAGGAAAAACAAATATAATGTACAGCAACAACCACTGAATTATAGGCTTCTGATTTGGGACTGGCACATACAGAAAGTGGCAGGGTTAAACAATGTTTGTGATCGCCCAACCGTCCCCTTACATGTGACAGTGGTGTTTGTAAGAATAACTGATTAAGTTAAATGCAAAATCATCAGTCTCACATTTATTTTGAACAAAAAAATCAGAATTCTACGGTAGAAAAACAAAGTAAGTTCAGTTCAAGGTCATCAGTTTGCCATTGATGTTTTTTTTTATGTTTGAAAGACAAGGTATGCTTCATTCAAAGGATGGTGGTGTTAAAAACAAAAGTCAAAGTTTGCACAATTGAGAAAGTAAAAAGCAATGTAAACAGATATCAAAGCTTTTAAAAAAGACACTCACTAAAATTAAATAAAGTCCAATAGTACATAACAAATATGTTTTTAAGCCTTGCATACAAACAAAGCCCTGAGTATAGTGATAGTGGTCAGGCAAACTGTCATAATGTTTGAAAACTTGTAGCTGTTAAATAACATAACATTTCAACTTTTACTGCACCAGATGCACATTTTGACGAAATATGTCTGCTCAGTGGTGCTCAAGGCCAAAATATTTGAAAGTCCAAAACCTAACTTACAAATGTTGAAGAGCTGATAAAACCTAAAAGGACCTAAAGTAAACCTAAACCCAAATATAAAGAGCTTTGCTTAAAGGATATACATTCCTTAATTTATAAATTTTATAAAAGCATATTGAAATAAAAAAAATATCTGTATTTTCATGTCAGTACTGAAGTACTGGCTACTGGGTCCATCATTTTATAATCAACCTCCTGGCACTAACTACAAATTATTAAACTTCAGAGTTCTTGAAAATAGTTTTGTCTTAAGGGATATTTGGACTGACACTGTACGGAATTTCTTGTCCAAAAGACATCTTGGTCCATCCAATCCTATATTTCTATTGAAAAGTTCACTCTCTAAGACTTGTGTCAGACATTTGGACTGACATTGTAACAACAACAACATACATGTATGTCAGACATTTCAAATTTTTATACGCCCGTCAATTTTTGACGGGATGTATTATGGTATACAAATGTCCGGTGTCCGTCCGGCGTAAACATATCGCACCGTAACTTGAGAATGACTTATCCAAATTTCATGAAACTTAATATAGTTGTTTCTTATGATGGTCAAACGATCTGTATACTTTTTGGTGAAAATAAGATTAAAACTTTTTGAGTTACGGGACTTAGTAACTAAAACAGGTGTGTGTTTTTTTTCACATGTCGCGCCGTATCTCAAAAACAATTTATGATTATTGCTTAAAACTTTAAACACTTCTTAGTTATATATATCTTAAGATCTGTATACTTTTTGGTGATGATTCAAAATTTTATTTTAGAGATATTGAGTATTTTGGTTAAAAAAGGGGGAGGGGTTTTTCACATGTCGCGCCGTATCTCAAAAACAGTTTATGATTATTGCTTAAAACTTTACACATTTCTTAGTTATATTAACCTTAAGATCTGTTTTATTTTTGGTGATGATTCAAAATTTTATTTTTGAGATATTGAGTATTTTGTAAAAAAAGGGGAGGGGTTTTTCACATGTCGCGCCGTATCTCAAAAACGATTTATGATTATTGCTTAAAATTTTACACACTTCTTAGTTATATTAATCTAAAGATCTGTATACTTTTTGGTTTTGATTCAAAATTTTATTTTTGAGATATTGATTTTTTTTTTTTTAAAGGGGGGTTTTCACATGTCGCGCCGTATCTCAAAAACAATTTATGATTATTGCTTAAAATTTTACACACATCTTAGTTATATTAATCTAAAGATCTGTATACTTTTTGGTTTTGATTCAAAATTTTATTTTAGAGATATTGAGTTTTTTGTAAAAAAAAAAGGGGGGTTTTCACATGTCACGCCGTATGTCAGAAACTATTTATGCTTATTGCATAAAAATTCACACACAAGACGACGGGTGTATCATGCGCTCATGGCGCAGCTGTTTATTAGTCAAATGATATGGACTGGCCATTTTCCAGAACTCTGTGATAGGTTTGATCTGGTTTTCCTATCGATTTGTCCCAAAAGCATGTTTTTATACGACCGCAAAAGTTTTTGCGGTCGTATATTGGTATGGCGTCGTCGTCTTCCAAACACACATTGGTTTTCGCACTCTAACTTTAGTTTAAGTGAATGGATCTCTATGAAATTTTACCATAAGGTTTAATACGACAAAAGGAAGGTGGGGTTTGATTTTGGGGGTTTGTGGTACCATCAGTTCAGGAATTAGGGGCCAAAAATGAGCATTTTTGTAACTTCCAGACATAACTTGTGTGTTAGTGTATGGATCTCTCTGACATTTTACCACAAGGTTCCATATCACAAAGGGAATGCTGGGATTGATTTTGGGGTTAATTGCTTCAAAATTATAGGAATTAGGGGCCAAAAAAGGGGCAAAAAACAAGCATTTTTCTAGTTTCATGACAATAACTTGTGTGTAAGTGTATGGATCTTTCTGAAATTGTACTACAAGGTTCCATATCACAAAGGGAAAGCTGGAATTGAGTTTGGGGGTAATTGCCCTAAATGTTTAGGAAAAAGGGGCCAAAAATAAGCATTTTTCTAGTTTCCAGACAATAACTTGTGTTCAAGTGTATGGATCTCTCTGAAATTGTACTGCAAGGTACCATACCACAAAGGGAAGGCTGGGATTGATTTTGGGGGTAATTGCCTCAAAATTTTAGGAATTAGGGGCCAAAAAGGGGCAAAAAACAAGCATATTTCTAGTTTCAGGACAATAACTTGTGTGTGGGTGTATGGATCTTTATGAAATTGTACTACAAGGTTCCATATCACAAAGGGAAAGCTGGGTTTGAGTTTGGCGGTAATTGCCATAAATGTTTAGGAATTTGGGGCCAAAAAGGGGCCAAAAAACAAGCATTTTTCTAGTTTCCTGACATTAACTTGTGTTCAAGTGTATGGATCTCTGTAAAATTGTATTGCAAGATACCATACCACAAAGGGAAGGCTGGGATTGAGTTTGGGGTGATGAATCAGAAGGGGGTTCAACAAATTGGGGGGGGGGGGGGGATTTTTTTTCCTTTTTTTTTGTATAAAATTTTCCATTTTAAATTGGTTATTTCTGATTTATATATAAAAGCAAATATTAATGATATGGTTTCAATAGGTAAATTAAAAAATTTTAAGTTCTTAGACCACATTCATTCTGTGTCAGAAACCTATGCTGTGTCAAATATTTAATCACAATCCAAATTCAGTGCTGTATCAAGCTTGAATGTTGTGTCCATACTTGCCCCAACTGTTCAGGGTTCGACCTCTGGGGTCGTATCAAGCTGCGCCCAGCGGAGCATTTTATTTTTAATCGGTTTAATAGCTGTTGGTATGAAACTGTCTTGAAATTGAGAACTAAAGTAATTTAAAGAAAAAATATTCAAAGTACAATTATCTGGTGGATAGTTGTTTCATTACCACATCCCCTATTTCCTTTTATAAAGTATAATTATTACTTTATCAAATGTAAAACATAATCACCAGTAACTCGGCCATGATTTGAAAGAGAAAATAAAATTCTACTGGTTGCATCTATCTGTATTTATGGCAGTAAGCTAAATTGACAAATGGTGCAGGGTATGAAAATTTGTATGCTCTTTAACACATTTTTCTTGCATAACAAGATGAAATATAAAGAAATAAATTTTTTACATAGATTTCATTACGTTTATTTGTGTTTAAAGTTGCTGTCTTGTGAAAAGAAGGAGATGCGGTATGATTGCCAATGAGAAAAATATTGTTGACATTTAACCAGCATTACCTTTTATTTGCATAATTGTAATGTGTGTATAACATTCTGTGTTGTGTTTTTTTCAGTCAGAGCCTTAGAGAAAGCCAGAAACACAGGACAATTTGCTCAGAGTAGTAGTGTTGGCTTTGATGGCTCTGAATCAGAAAGTTCAGTTGAAGGGGACTTGGCTGGTGTTAGAAGAAAAAAGTTAAAGACAGCCTAATTATTAACCTTTTGTGTATGGATTTGTACTCGTATTGTCGAGGGAGAAAATGATTTACACCTTTATAATGTAAAATTATAAAAATGTTCATGTATGGTCTATATTATATGAAGATCAAATTGTATGCAAAAGGGCTCATTTATATTTGCCAAATCTCTTTCTATTTTCTAATCTGTGTCAAGGTGTGGATTCTTCTGATTCACATAAGTCATCCACATTGAAGATAAAATCGAAAATTCATAGAATTACACATCAAAATACATTGATGTTTAACAAGAACTACAGCATTTGTAAATTTTTCATATCACCAACATTCCGCACACAATTCAGACAGTTGCTAGTCATGTATAGATGAGCCCTGGCTTAACAGATTTTTACTATTAATGCCGCACTTGAATTTGCCCTGGACAAAAGCCCTTTTATAGTGCCATTGAATCAAAGAAATGATTGAGAAAACATATGTACTTTGTCAAAATACAAACATGGTTTAATTCTAATCAATGGTTTATTAAAGTCTTACTGCTTACAAGAAACTTTTAAAACTAAATAGACAGCAATCATGTATAAAACAAGTAAAATATATGTATGTACCATTCTTAACAGAATTATGTAAATACACATTTACATCAATCTATAATCATATGAATACATATGTTAAAGAGCAGTTAAAGATATGAAATATTGATTCTCTGTGTTAAAATGTTTGTAAACTATGGTATTCTTTTTAAAAATAGTTTAAACCAAAAGGCACCAACTTATTATTCTTTGTGGGACATGTTTATCTTTAAATAAATTGTTTGATTTTGAATATCTTCAGGGAAAAAAACATAATTTGCCTCAGAAGGGAAGTGAAAAAAAATAGTTTGTTTTCATTTGAATATAGTTAAATAAGAATAACAACATTGTGTTACCAGAAAAAATGTCTAGTTCCTGTATATTAAGAAATGTTATTTACTTCATAAAAGTAAAAAAAAAATCCCTTCCTCTAAAATATAAAAGGTCAGTGTAATTAAGGACAAAAGTATTTTTTATTTTACTCACTAAAAGGTCATAATTTATGACAAACATTGTTTGTTTCATTTTTTTGAATTTGATCTACATTTTGTACTAATAGGTTTTGACTGATGTGTTTTGCGAACAAATCTTTTTTGATGTATGTTTAAGTACAGTTCCTCTCCCATACATTTGTCCCCTCCTGTAAAGATTAAATGCAGTGTAATCCAGTTTCAGTCGGGGGGAATAATCAGGATTATAGTATATGACTATATCCTCAAATATCAAGAAAAGAAATTAATAAAAAAAATTCTATCCTCTCAAATTTGTCGAAAATACCTGCAAATTTTCTATAGCCATAGATATTTAGTTGTTGCTATATGTATTGGTATTTTAATTTAAAAATGTATTTTAGATATGTACACAGGTATAAATCTGAATTTTTATATTAATAAAATATGTTTGTTCTGATGTCATCATATAATTTTTCTACATGATATTAAGGTATAAAGTGTAAATACATTGTTTGCATACAACTGTAAAGTGTTGAACTTTGTCCTAAAAGCTTCTTTCTCAATTTATTAAACAATTAATTCAAACAAAAAAAAAAAGCATTACAAAAAAGACAGAAACAATTTTAATGACTTTAATTCAACTTATCCATTATTCAAGGCAAAAATTACAATTGTATTTTAATAAGTTTGATAATGAAGATATATGTAATTTTGAAGGGTCTACTGATGCTGATTTACATGGGGGGCACACCACACCCCAAGCTTGTATTTATAGAAAAAGAATGGCACTTTAAATCAAGTTCATTACCTATAATCAGAAGAAAAGGCACAAGTAGCTTTTATTTAAGTTTTAAAATAAAATGTCAGAGAAGTCTGGTGAAAATTGGTGCAGATATTTTCTTGTATAAATATGCTTTTAATATAAACCACAGTGCATCTACAAAATTTACTTAATTTTAATCTTGTTACCCAGTTTTTATTGATACTTATTAAAATAATTTTGTTTAAAGTTTGGGAATGTATTAAAGTGTAACAGTTCATTTGGGTTTAGTAAGACTTTAGATTAGGAATGGAGAGATGCTTTGTCCAACATGCCAAGGCTGCAAGCTCTCAATTTGCTTGCCTTTGTATTGTGTAAAAGTATAGACCTTCAAGAGCAATTTTATTGTAGGTTTTAGTATTTTATAATAATATGACATGAAATACCTGAGCTTAGTCATCTGTTTTATATTTTACCTCAAAAGTATCTCGTTTTCTGTCTCATTTGGGGGGAGGAAGGAATTCATCACAAGGCAGAAACAGTTGATTGACAAATCCTTTACACTTGCACATTTACATTAAATAATAGATCTCTTTAAAGTGTTTGTAAAACAGGGCAAGGCAACTATAAATAAAAATATATTGAGATTTTATGTATGTAATTAAGGAGGAAAATTGTTGAGTTTTTAGTCTTTTTTTATATGATTGTATGATATACATTATAATTTGTACAGATATGTAGTATAATGAAATGTTTTTGTTGTAATAAATGATGAAATACTACGATTTTTCTTTTGATTTTAAAATGTACTCTTTGATTGGTACTTTTGTCTTTGTTAGTCCCCTACCGACGAAGTCTAGGGGACTTTAGGTTTGCACTCTGTCCGTCTGTCCATCCGTCAGTCCGGCAAATCAGTTTTCCACACTTTTTTTATACGACTGCAAAAAAAATTTGCAGTCATATATTGGTATGACGTTGTCATCGTATGAAGACACATTGATTTTCACACTCTAACTTAAGTTTAAGTGAATGGATCTCTATGAAATTTTACCATAAGGTTCAATACCACAAAAGGAAGGTTGGGATTGATTTTGGGGGTTATGGTACCAACAGTTAAGGAATTAGGGGCCAAAAATAAGCATTTTTGTAACTTCCAGACATAACTTGCGTGTTAGTGTATGGATCTCTCTGACATTGTACCACAAGGTTCCATATCACAAAGGGAATGCTGGGATTGATTTTGGGGGTAATTGCCTCCAAATTTTAGGAATTAGGGGCCAAATTGGGGCAAAAAACAAGCATTTTTCTAGTTTCATGACAATAACTTGTGTGTAAGTGTATGGATCTTTCTGAAATTGTACTACAAGGTTCCATATTACAAAGGGAAAGCTGGAATTGAGTTTGGGGGTAATTGCCCAAAACGTTTAGGAAAAAGGGGCCAAAAATAAGCATTTTTCTAGTTTCCAGACAATAACTTGTGTTCAAGTGTATGGATCTCTCTGAAATTGTACTGCAAGGTACCATACCACAAAGTGAAGGCTGGGATTGATTTTGGGGGTAATTGCCTCAAAATTTTAGGAATTAGGGGCCAAAAAAGGGTAAAAAACAAGCATTTTTCTAGTTTCAGGACAATAACTTGTGTGTAAATGTATGGATCTTTATGAAATTGTGCTACAAGGTTCCATATCACAAAGGGAAAGCTGGGTTTGAGTTTGGGGGTAATTGCCCCAAACGTTTAGGAATTTGGGGCCTAAAAACATGCATTTTTCTAGAATCCAGACAATAACTTGTGTTCAAGTGTATGGATCTCTGAAATTGTACTGCAAGGTACCATACCACAAAGGGAAGGCTGGAATTGAGTTTGGGGGTGATGAATCATAAGGGGGTTCAAAAAATTTGGGGGACGGATTTTTTATACGACCGCAAAAAAATTTTTGTGGTCGTATATTGGTATGACGTTGTCGTCGTCGTCGTCTGGCGTCGTCCGAAGACACATTGGTTTTCGCACTCTAACTTTAGTTTAAGTGAATGGATCTTTATGAAATTTTACCACAAGGTTCAATACCACAAAAGGTAGGTTGGGATTGATTTTGGGGGTTATGGTAATAACAGTAAAGGAATTAGGGGCCAAAAATAAGCATTTTTGTAACTTCCAGACATAACTTGTGTGTAAGTGTATGGATCTCTCTGACATTGTACCACAAGGTTCCATATCACTAAAGGAATGCTGGGATTGATTTTGGGGGTAATTGCCTCCAAATTTTAGGAATAAGGGGCCAAAAAAGGGGCAAAAAAACAAGCATTTTTCTAGTTTCATGACAATAACTTGTGTGTAAGTGTATGGATCTTTCTGAAATTGTACTACAAGGTTCCATATCACAAAGGGAAAGCTGGGTTTGAGTTTGGGGGTAATTGCCCTAAACGTTTAGGAATTTGGGGCCAAAAAACACATTTTTTTCTAGTTTCCAGACAATAACTTGTGTTCAAGTGTATGGATCTCTCTGAAATTGTACTGCAAGGTACCATACCACAAAGGGAAGGCTGGGATTGAGTTTGGGGGTGATGAATCATAATGGGGGTTCAAAAAATTTTGGGGGGGGGATTTATTTTTTTTTCCTTTTTTTTCTTTTTTTCCTTTTCTGTTTCTTTTAAAAATTTTCATTTTAAGTTGGTTATTTCTGATTTATATTTAAAATCAAATAATAATGATATGGTAGGAGATACACACCAAACAGGATGTGTAAATTATTATATAATAAGTATTGTGCAATAGCAAGAAATTTTCAATTGCACAGTATTGCACAATAGCAAGAAATCTTCAATTGCACAGTATTGCGCAATAGCAAGAAATCTTCAATTGCACAGTATTGCGCAATAGCAAGAAATATCCAATAGCACAATATTGCGCAATAGCAAGAAATTGTCAATTGTACAGTATTGCGCAATAGCAAGAAATATTTAATAGCACAGGATTGTGCAAAAGAAGATATTTCCTATAAATTGCTTATTTCTTGACCAATTTCAATGGGGTTTTATTCTTGATTTCATGGGGTTCTTTAATATGCTGAATCTAACCGTGTATTTAGTTTTTGGATTTTGGGCCCCGTTTTTAAATTGGTCCACATTGAGGTCCAAAGGGTCCAAAATTAAACTTTGTTTGATTTCATCAAAAATTGAATTATTGGGGTTTATTTGATATGCCGAATCTAACTGTGTATTTAGATTCTTAAGTTTTGGTTCCGTTTTCAAATTGGTCTACATTAAGGTCCAAAGGGTCCAAAATTAAACTTAGTTTGATTTTAACAAAAATTGAATTCTTAGGGTTCTTTGATATGCTGAATCTAAACATGTATTTAGATTTTTGATTATGGGCCCAGTTTTCAAGTTGGTCCAAATCAGGGTCCAAAATTTAACTTTGTTTGATTTCAACAAAAATTGAATATATGGGGTTCTTTGATATGCTGAATCTAACCATGTATTTAGATTTTTGATTTTTGGGCCCCGTTATCAACTTTGTCCACATTGAGGTCAAAAGGGTCCAAAATTAAACTTTGTTTGATTTCATCAAAAATTGAATTCTTGGGGTTCTTTGATATGCCGAATCTAACTGTGTATTTAGATTCTTAATTTTTGGTTCCGTTTTCAAATTGGTCTACATTAAGAATAGCAAGAAATATTTAATAGCACAGGATTGTGCAAAAGAAGATACTTCCTATAAATTGCTTATTTCTTGACCAATTTCAATGGGGTTTTATTCTTGATTTCATGGGGTTCTTTAATATGCTGAATCTAACCGTGTATTTAGTTTTTGGATTTTGGGCCCCGTTTTTAAATTGGTCCACATTGAGGTCCAAAGGGTCCAAAATTAAACTTTGTTTGATTTCATCAAAAATTGAATTATTGGGGTTCTTTGATATGCCGAATCTAACTGTGTATTTAGATTCTTAAATTTTGGTTCCGTTTTCAAATTGGTCTACATTAAGGTCCAAAGGGTCCAAAATTAAACTTAGTTTGATTTTAACAAAAATTGAATTCTTAGGGTTCTTTGATATGCTGAATCTAAACATGTATTTAGATTTTTGATTATGGGCCCAGTTTTCAAGTTGGTCCAAATCGGGGTCCAAAATTAAACTTTGTTTGATTTCAACAAAAATTGAATATATGGGGTTCTTTGATATGCTGAATCTAACCATGTATTTAGATTTTTGATTTTTGGGCCCCGTTATCAACTTTGTCCACATTGAGGTTAAAAGGGTCCAAAATTAAATTTTGTTTGATTTCATCAAAAATTGAATTATTGGGGTTCTTTGATATGCCGAATCTAACCGTGTATTTAGATTCTTAATTTTTGGTTCCGTTTTCAAATTGGTCTACATTAAGGTGCAAAGGGTCCAAAATTAAACTTAGTTTGATTTTAACAAAAATTGAATTCTTAGGGTTCTTTGATATGCTGAATCTAAACATGTATTTAGATTTTTGATTATGGGCCCAGTTTTCAAGTTGGTCCAAATCGGGGTCCAAAATTAAACTTTGTTTGATTTCAACAAAAATTGAATATATGGGGTTCTTTGATATGCTGAATCTAACCATGTATTTAGATTTTTGATTTTTGGGCCCCGTTATCAACTTTGTCCACATTGAGGTCAAAAGGGTCCAAAATTAAACTTTGTTTGATTTCATCAAAAATTGAATTCTTGGGGTTCTTTGATATGCTGAATCTAACCATGTATTAAGATTTTGGATATTGGACCATAATAGGTGAATGTCCAATTTAAAATTTTTAAGTTCTTAGACCACATTCAATCTGTGTTAGAAACCTATGCTGTGTCAAATATTTAATCACAATCCAAATCCAAAGCTGTATCAAGCTTGAATGTTGTGTCCATACTTCCCCCAACTGTTCAGGGTTCGACCTCTGCGGTCGTATCAAGCTGCGCCCTGCGGAGCATTTTATTTTTTTTTATTTTCCATTTTAAATTGGTTATTTCTGATTTATATATAAAAGCAAATAATAATGATATGGTTTGAATAGGTAAATTAAAAAATTTTAAGTTCTTAGACCACATTCATTCTGTGTCAGAAACCTATGCTGTGTCAAATATTTAATCACAACCCAAATTCAGTGCTGTTTCAAGCTTGAATGTTGTGTCCATACTTGCCCCAACTGTTCATGGTTCGTCCTCTGCGGTCGTATCAAGCTGCGCCCAGCGGAGCATTTTATTCTTCTTGAAGATATTGATTTGATATTTGGTATATAGTTTTATCATGACAAGTTACAGATCAAGTTCAAATTTTGGTCCGGGGTAATGAATTTGTCAAGAGTTATGATGGTCCTTGGACTTAGAAAATTCACTCAAATAATCAGTCTTCTGCACTTTTTTTCGTCATGCTTGAAGATATTGATTTGATAATAGGTATATAGCTTTATCATGATAAGTTACAGGTCAAGTTTGAATTTTGTTCTGGTCTGATGATTTTGTTCAGGGTTATGGTCCTTGGACTTACAAAATTCACTCAAATAATCAGTTTTTCACACTTTTTTTCTTCATGCTTGAAGATACTGACTTGATATTTTTTATATAATTTACACCATGACAAGTTATAGATCAAATTAGCCTTTTGTTCCAGTACAGTGAATTTTTAACCAGTAGGGAACTATGTATTGCCATGTAATACTCTCAGAATGCTTGTTTATGTTGTTTTTTGGGCTATGTTCCAATCTGATAAATCAAGCCATTTTAAACTGATAGTTATAGTTTGTTTAAATGTTGTTCTGTCACATCACTGTCCCGGGTTGCTCACAAGCATGTTTAACTGGCCACATTCTTCATGTGTTTGTCCCAAGACGGCAGCATGTAATTCATGACTTATGCCCCTTTATAAACATAGAAATTGCTGAATTTTTATACGACCGCAAAAAAATTTTTTGTGGTCGTATATTGGTATGACGTTGGCGTCGTCGTCATCGTTGTCCGAAGACACATTGGTTTTCGCACTCTAAATTTAGTTTGAGTGTATGGATCTCTATGAAATTTTACCATAAGGTTCAATACCACAAAAGGAAGGTGGGGATTGATTTTGGGGGTTATGGTACCAACAGTTAAGGAATTAGGGGCCAAAAAGGGGCCAAAAATAAGCATTTATGTAACTTCCAGACATAACTTGTGTGTTAGTGTATGGATCTCTCTGACATTGTACCACAAGGTTCCATATCACAAAGGGAATGCTGGGATTGATTTTGGGGGTAATTGCCTCCAAATTTCAGGAATTGGGGGCCAAAAAGGGGCAAAAAACAAGCATTTTTCTAGTTTCATGACAATAACTTGTGTGTAAGTGTATGGATCTCTCTGACATTGTACCACAAGGTTCCATATCACAAAGGGAATGCTGGGATTGATTTTGGGGGTAATTGCCTCCAAATTTTAGGAATTCGGGGCCAAAAAGGGGCAAAAAACAAGTATTTTTCTAGTTTCCAGACAATAACTTGTGTGTAAGTGTATGGATCTTTATGAAATTGTACTGCAAGGTTCCATATCACAAAAGGAAAGCTGGAATTGAGTTTGGGGGTAATTGGCCAAAACGTTTAGGAATAAGGGGCCAAAAATAAGCATTTTTCTAGTTTCCAGACAATAACTTGTGTTCAAGTGTATGGATCTCTCTGAAATTGTACTGCAAGGTACCATACCACAAAGGTAAGGCTGGGATTGATTTTTGGGGTAATTGCCTCAAAATTTCAGGAATTATGGGCCATAAAGGGGCAAAAAAACAAGCATTTTTCTAGTTTCAGGACAATTACTTGTGTGTAAGTGTATGGATCTTTATGGAATTGTACTGCAAGGTTCCATATCACAAAGGGAAAGCTGGGTTTGAGTTTGGGGGTAATTGCCCTAAACATTTAGGAATTTGGTGCAAAAAAGAGGCAAAAAAACAAGCATTTTTCTAGTTTCCGGACAATAACTTGTGTTCAAGTGTACGGATCTCTCTGAAATTGTACTGCAAGGTACCATACCACAAAGGGAAGGCTGGAATTGAGTTTGGGGGTGATGAATCATAAGGGGGCTCAAAAAATTGGGGGGGGGATTTTTTTTCCCTTTTTTTTCTTTAAAATTTTCCATTTTAAATTGGTTATATCTGATTTATATATAAAAGCAAATCATAATAATATGGTTTGAATAGGTAAATTAAAAATTTTAAGTTCTTAGACCACATTCATTCTGTGTCAGAAACCTTTGCTGTGTCAAATATTTAATTTCAATCCAAATTCAGTGCTGTATCAAGCTTGAATGTTGTGTCCATACTTGCCCCAACTGTTCAGGGTTCGACCTCTGCGGTCGTATCAAGCTTCGCCCCAGCGGAGCATTTTATTCATTTCTGTTCTTTAACTTAAGTTTGCCTCAACCAAATGTTATAAAACTTATACACAATGCTTATTACCACAAAACGCAGATCAAGTTCAAAATTGGGTGGCACCACATTTACTGTTCATGAGTTATATGCCCCTTTATAAATGGAAAAATAGCTAAATCTGTCGTTTCCGTTCTCTAACTTTAGTTTGCCTCAGATTGTTTTCAGATCCCTATAAGCAAAGCTTGGACACGTGATCTATATTTTAATCAAATTGCATAAAATATATCAAGCTCTAAATCAGAAACTAAAAGATCTACCATCAACCAAGATCTCCAAATTTTTTTTTTTTTTTTAAACTACGGTAGAGGCTCTAAAGAGCCTGAGTCGCTCACCTTGGTCTATGTGCATATTCAACAAAGGACCCTCTCCAACACTGTAGACGAGAATAGAATTCATGACAAAAATCTGTTTTGTTGATCTTGTATTGCTGATCATTTAGTCTGTTTTTTTTCTCTCTATCTTCATTAGTTTTTGCTCAAAACACAAAAGGGAAGTAATTCAAATGTGTCACTTACACTGCTTTTAAAATTATGTATATTGGAAATTTGCCAATAATTTTAGTATTAATAAATTCCATTGGAAATTTGCCAATAACTTTAGTATAATAAACTCCCTTGGAAATTTGCCAATAACTTAAGTATAAGTTAATATAAATCTATGAAATTTAAACACAAGGTTTTAAACCACAAAAGGAAGATTGGGATTGATTTATGGGGTGATGGTCCCAACAGTTTAGGAATTAAGGGCCTAAAAAGGGGTCCAAATAAGCATTTTTCTAGTTTCCAGACAATAACTTGTGTGTAAGTGTATGGATCTTTCTGAAATTGAACCACAAGGCTCCATACCAAAAAAGGAAGGTTGGGATTGATTTTGGGGGTTATGGCCCTACCTGTTTAGGAATTAGGGGCCAAAAACAATACTTTTCTAATACTTTGTATAAATTGCTTATTTCTTTACTAATTTCAATGGGGTTTTATTCTTGAATTCTTGGGGTTCTTTAATCTGCTGAATCTAACAGTGTATTAAGGTTTTGGATTTTGAGCCCCGTTTTTAAATTGGTCCACATTGAGGTCCAAAGGGTCCAAAATTAAACTTTGTTTGATTTCATCAAAAATTGAATTATTGGGGTTCTTTGATATGCCGAATCTAACCGTGTATTTAGATTCTTAATTTTTGGTCCCCTTTTCAAATTGGTCTACATTAAGGTCCAAAGGGTCCAAAATTAAACTTATTTTGATTTTACAAAAATTGAATTCTTGGGGTTCTTTGATATGCTGAATCTAAACATGTTTTAGATTTTTGATTACAGGCCCAGTTTTCAAGTTGGTCCAAATCGGAATCCAAAATTAAACTTTGTTTGATTTCAACAAAATGTATATATGGGGTTTTTAAATATGCTGAATCTAACCGTGTATCAAGTTTTTTGATTTTGGGCCCCATTTTTAAATTGGTCCACATTGAGGTCCAAAGGGTCCAAAATTAAACTTTGTTTGATTTCATCAAAAATTGAATTATTAGGGTTCTTTGATATGCAGAATCTATCCGTGTATTTAGATTCTTAATTTTTGGTCCCCTTTTCAAATTTGTCTACATTAAGGTGCAAAGGGTCCAAAATTAAACTTAGTTTGATTCTAACAAAAATTGAATTCTTGGGGTTCTTTGATATGCCTTCAAGTTTTCAAGTTGGTCCAAAACCGGGTCCAAAATTAAACTTTGTTTGATTTCAACAAAAATTGAATATATGGGGTTCTTTGATATGCTGAATCTAACCGTGTATTAAGTTTATGGATTTTGGTCCACATTGAGGTCCAAAGGGTCCAAAATTTAACTTTGTTTGATTTCATCAAAAATTGAATTACAGGGGTTCTTTGATATGCTGAATCTAACCTGTATTTTGATTTTTGGGCCATGTTATCAAATTGGTCCACATTGAGGTCAAAAGGGTCCAAATTTTTTTGTTTTTTGCTGATTTCATCAAAAATTGAATTCTTGGGGTTCTTTGATATGCTGAATTGAACCATGAATTTAGATTTTGGATATTTAACCATAATAGGAAAATGTCCAATTTAAAATTTTTAAGTTCTTAGACCACATTCATTCTGTGTCAGAAACCTATGCTGTGTCAAATATTTAATCACAATCCAAATTCAGAGCTATATCAAGCTTGAATGTTGTGTCCATACTTGCCCCAACTGTTCAGGGTTCGACCTCTGCGGTCGTATCAAGCTGCGCCCTGCAGAGCATTTTATTAATGATTACAACCTGATCGTAATATTTCTATTTTTTATGCCCCACCTTTGTTTTTCAGTCTGTGCGTCCGTTACTCCGTCCGTCCGTCCGTCTGTTTGTCCGTCTGTCCTGCTTCAGATTAAAGTTTTGGTCAAAGTAGTTTTTGATGAAGTTGAAGTCCAATCAACTTGAAACTTAGTACACATGTTCCCTATGATATGATCTTTCAAATTTTAAAGCCAAATTAGAGTTTTTTTCTTAGACTTTTAAAGGGAACATAACATATAACCAAATCATGCATATTCAGGATAGAAAGGATCAAACAATAACTAACATACATATATTATAATACTCTTTATTTGGTAGGTCGTATTCTCAAAAAAAAAGGGTAACATGTATCCATCAACAACAACAAAAGTATTATATATGAAACCAGTCCATTTATTGTGACGTCTGCTGAGTTATTGTTTTATCTCTGTTTAATTCAGATCTTGAAAAAAAAACTATTCTTGGACATATTCGATAATGTCCTCTCTACAAACATTTCAGTTTCATATACCATTTTGACAGTAATACACTGGTGCTGGTACTTGGTTACAAATTCTTTGTCAATATATTTTTATCATCACACTTTAATTTGGTTTCCCGAACCTTTTTCCAGTACATATGTAATCGTTCTAGCCATATCTTCCAGTTTTCCTCACATAATTTTTGGTCCATAGTGTGAACATGTGCAGGTTGTCCATCTGGATAGGCTATAACAATGGCACCATTGGTGATCTGGTCCATCTGGAAAAAAATAATTACAAAATCAATTTGGTCCAAGAAAGGGGAGATAACCATAGTAATACCATTGATACCAAAGAAACCAGTCAAAAAGTCCAATTTGCAATACAGGGACCAAAGCATCATCAGTTGATTGGTCTAAATGATAATCAAATTGCATCCCAAAATATATATACATTGTAGTCCTAAATATCACAGGGTCACCACAGGGGATCTGGTCCAACTGAAAATGTATAGTAAATCAGTCAAACTCCAAATTGTCTGACAAAAGTTCTGGTCTAACTGTTATGTATACAATGAAAAGGAGAAAGACTCAAATATTCATTGTGAAAGACATAACTCTTTAACATTAACCCCATTAGTGATATGGTAATTTATAGTTCAGGGTATAAAAAACATTATCGTACAAATTGTTAAATTTTACTTCCACAGATGACTGTAAATTATGCATACCGATAAGAAATTATGGTTATCAACAATATTTTCTTCTTCAGAATACGAGAGTAAACTCCTAGGTAGGAGTGTAAAACTTCCCAGAACTTGTGTGCTTTTATTATTAACAAAACAAAAAATTTACATTAGCTTTTGTGGTTTAATCAGTTGGTGCTGACACAAGGATATTACAGTGAATGGTAACCAAAACAAACATCCAACAGTACATTATTTGGTTTGGTGACCCCACTGAAAATTTACTCCTCTGTCTTGTAGTAACTGACTATTATTAATGGCCCCTATGTAGGCAGCTACTTGTATTGGATTGTGACCCCACTGAAAATTTACTCCTCTGTCTTGTAGTAACTGACTATTATTAATGGCCCCTATGTAGGCAGCTACTTGTATTGGATTGTGACCCCACTGAAAATTTACTCCTCTGTCTTGTAGTAACTGACTATTATTAATGGCCCCTATGTAGTAAGCTACTTATATTGGATTGTGACCCCACTGAAAATTTACTCCTCTGTCTTGTAGTAACTGACTATTATTAATGGCCCCTATGTAGGCAGCTACTTGTATTGGATTGTGACCCCACTGAAAATTTACTCCTCTGTCTTGTAGTAACTGACTATTATTAATGGCTCCTATGTAGGCAGCTACTTGTATTGGATTGTGACCCCACTGAAAATTTATTTCTCTGTCTTGTAGTAACTGACTATTATTAATGGCCCCTATGCAGACAGCTACTTGTATTGGATTGTGACCCCACTGAAAACTTACTCCTCTGTCTTGTAGTAACTGACTATTATTAATGGCCCCTATGTAGGCAGCTACTTGTATTGGATTGTGACCCCACTGAAAACTTACTCCTCTGTCTTGTAGTAACTGACTATTATTAATGGCTCCTATGTAGGCGGCTACTTGTATTGGATTGTCAAAGGTATCCTTAATTGTAGGTTTGGTTTTCTTTGACGTCTTCCAATCCACCAAACAGAGTCTGTCTCTAAAGATTGTAAAATAAACTTGAAAGAGGCACAAATCATCAAATGTTTTAAGAATAAGTTTACCCTTGTATACTGGTCTTGTATTTGCCCTAGGAAAATTACCAATTCTCATGAGTTACTTGCTTTCTGTCCGGTGACATTATTTCATGCATATTTAGGAGGAAGAGTACAAATTGACAATAAATACAATAAGTACGTTCTGCAAGATGGGGACCCCACCCCCTACCACTTCTGGATAAAGACAGAAATCTTGACTGCAAAAGCTTCAAAATTAATTCATAAAAAAATTCAATAGAACTTTGATTTCATGAAAATCGATAACTCAAAAACACCATTATTGATCTTTGTTTTAGTTTACTCATATGATGGATGTTGAGAAATCAAGAAAACTTCTGTGTATATGAAAGATATTTTTTTATTTATTGAATAGTGAAGATCATAAAGATAGAATAAGTCTTGTAGGAAGTAAATATAAAGTAACTTTGGTCTCATTTGTTTATAAAAACAAATTTTTACTTGTCTGATGTACAATTTCAGAAACTGCCTTTCAATTTCTATTTCTTCCTGAACATGCATGAAATATTTGCCACAGGACATAAAACAATGAACAATCAATAAATCAATTTCTATTTTTATTTTTATCATGGACTTTTCTCTGTATAATATATTTGTCAAATAAACTTCCGACATACTCTTAAAATAGAGTGTTGGATAAAAAAAAAAATGGGGAATGTGTCCATGGGACACAGATTATGCCCCCCCCCCCCCCCCCCCCTTTTGCAAATAACGTTATAAAGGGACATAACTCAAGAACTGTAAAGTGACGATACCCAAATTTGTACTTGACATGAGTTTTGTGGTAATAAGCATTGTTTATAAGTTTCATAACATTTAGTTGAGGCAAACTTAAGTTAGAGAACAGAAACAAAAAATTCAGCAATTTTTCCATTTGTATTATAAAGGGGCATAATTCTAGAACAGTAAAAGTGACACCACCAAAATTAGAACTTGATCTGTGTTTTGTCGTAATTAGCATTGTGCATAAGTTTCATAACATTTGTTTGAGGCAAACTAAAGATAGAGAACAGAAATGAATATTTCAGCAATTTTTCCATTTGTAAAGGGCATAACTCTAGAACGATAAAAGTGATGCCACCAAGATTCAAACTTGATCTGTGTTTTGTGGTAATGAGCATTGTGTATAATTTTGATAACATTTGGTTGAGGCAAAATTAAGTTAGAGAACGGAAACCAATTTTGGGATGTACAGACGGACAAGGGTAAAACTTAATGCCCCCTCGGCTACGGCGGGGGCATAAACAAAACCTACGAGGCTGAAAGGTTTTAATTTTTTTGCTCTATGTTGAAGAAACCACTGTGACTTTGAAATGTAGAACAACAATAAAAGCACACTTTCCTTCCTTTTTATTTTCTGTACATATAGTGAATTTTCCCATTTGACAATTATACCTGGGTACCAGAGAGGTTTTGCCAATTTCGTACATTTTTAAGGGGAACATCAGTTTAAAAACTAGAGGCTCTAAAGAGCCTGTGTGGCTCATCTTGGTCTATATGCATATTCAACAAAGGACACTCTTCAACATTGTAGAGAGAATAGAATTCATGACAAAAATCTCTGTTTTGTTGGTCTTATATTGCTGATCATTTAGGCTGTTTAGTTTCTCTCTTACTATCTTCTGTAGTTTTTCCTCAAAACACAAAAGAGGGTAAAAATGAATCCTACTTTAAGGGCAATCACTCCTATAAAGAGTGACAGTCTAATAACTATATCGGCAAAATTTGACTTGTTAGTAGATCTTGTCTTGCTGATCATTATTGCAATTTAAAGCTTCTCTTTATCTATTATAGTTTTCAAGATAATAGGCAAAAATGAAAAAAATGGAAAAATTTGTCATTTAAGAGCAATAACTCCTATAAGAAGTCGTCTGACAGTTTTGGCAATTTACCCCTATGTTCTATTTTTAGCCATGTTGGCCATCTTGGTTGGCAGGCGGCGTCTTCAGACACATTTTTTAAACTAGATACCCCAATGATGATCGTGGCCAAGTTTGGTTAAATTTGGCCCACTAGTTTCAGAGGAGAAGATTTTTGTAAAAGTTAACAGACGACGACGATGGAGGATGGACGCCAAGTGATATAAAAAGGGAAGGGGGTTATTATTTCTTTCAATATTACAAGAAAATGATATGTGGTAAAAATAAACTAAATTTTCTGGTTTACTGAAGAATTTTAAAATCAAATTAATAAATACTTTATAGAAAGACCTGTGCACTTCTACATACTTATATACGGCTACACAATCAAATTTTCCTTGGTAACACAGGTCTTTATGCTTGACTGCTTCTTCTATGGCAACCGCTTCTTTGACATCTTGTAATACCCTTCGTATACTATCCCAATGTCCTGTATTGTCCTTATAAATATTCAACTCAGACTCAGGAATTCCAGATAAAAAATGCTGAATGTTTGCATGAAGGTTGGATCCATTTCTAAAAGTCTCTGTCAAAAAAGATATTTTTTGCAAATTAGGTCACTGTTCCCTAATGCAAAATTGTCATTATTGACCCTACATAGTTTTGCTTGTTTTGATTAGGCTTTATAATTTTGATGCTCTCTATGTTTTAGGTTAATTGATATTATTGGCTTCAATTTAAGCATACCACTATAATTTTCATTGGGAGACAGTTTGGGAAGCTCTGCAAGATTTTATTTATGATTTCATAATTACTTTTATAACTATAGAGTGTTACATTAGCGATAGTTTTTAAGAGACTACTGTAAATTCAGAAATTATTGCGTGCATTTATTATTGCAATTTTTGGAAAATGGGCAGAAATGCGAGATTAATTATTGCGATTTCAGGAAAATCTGAACACAGATATATGTATCATATATCAGAATGAGAATTCTTATTATTGAGATACTCACCAAGTCGCAATATTCCCATAAATAAAAACATTGCAATAGTTTTTGAATTTACATTATTCAAGGAAATAATAAAAAATACCTTCTTGATGCTTTTTAAACCCTTCAGCTCCTAATTCGCTGATCATTTTCTTCTTCCACCTTTCCAAGTAAAACCTCGACAAATCAGACATTGTCTCACTTATTATACGTGTCACTGATGGAATTAAATGTCCTGCTGATTGTACCAAAACAGAATTGTCAACCTCTGCCTCAGATCTTACCATAGGATAGGTAAGAATGTAGTCTATAGCAGGATCAATCTTCCTCTGGAACGGCACCTTAATTTCTTTATTTCCTTTCTTCTCATTGTTTTTATTTGACTCTTCACTGTTTTTATCCAATTTCTCTTTATCACTGTTAATCTGTTTATTTGAAGCCTTACTTTTAGTCAGTTTACCAGATTTTTCACTCTGTTTATTTGATTCTATTGGACTAGATGTGTGATATTCTGATTTTTCCTCACTTTTAGTCAATTTTTTACTTTTTCTATTAAGTTTTGGACCGTAAAGATTAAAGTTATCATAATTAAGTTGTATGATTTCTTTGACATCATAAGTTTTTGTAGTTTTGAATCGTAATGATATACTGAATGAAACAGACCGATTAGATTTACTACACATTAACTTTGATAACAACTGTCCTGTCAACCTTGCCATTCTTCACAATCTGAAATGAAAAAAAACACCCAGTTCATAAATTGATATTTTCATATTCTTTAAAAGTATTTTCAAATATCACCTCTGGTAAGGCAATACTTCCACAACACAGATTTCACATCAGGCACATGCATGCAGACCATTTCAAATGTTAAGAAATCACATATCACCAAAAAACAAATTCCTAATTTAATGACTTTCACAGTGAACACCTGCTCTTTCTAAAACATGAAAAAAACCTGTAATAACCAACAGAATTTGAGGCAAAAACTTTTGTAGGAAATCATATGTATACCAGTAAATGTAATTTAATCCCAACTGCTAGCATTAAAAACCCAGCTAACAATTAGTTTTGAAACATACAGGCATATTCATGATATGCTGGTGACTAACCAAACCGGTCTAATTTTTGATTACTCATCTCATTTAGTTTACCAGTTGGGATCAAGCAATCATGCAAATTGGCTTTAATAGCCTGTTAAGGATACAATATTGCTAATTATTGGATATAAATTTACTGTGCAACAACCGTATTTTGAATCTTTGGAAACTTTTGAGAATATCTGATTGTTTATGAAAATTTTAAGAGAGATCAATCTAGCAAACATTCTATTTCATAACATGTATACAAATATGTAAGTACCCAAGTAATTAATAAATTAAAAGTCCAAACATCTTCATCTTCATGCACCCCATACAAATTGATAAAAGAACAACTGCAGACACGTTTTTAATGGTTCCAGGATTATTTCCCATGTTACATCTTTGTAAAATGTAATTAGGAAAACACAAATAATTTTTTCTGACTAACGTCACTAACCTATGATGGCTATATAAATACAATACTTCTTACTTACACCTAAGATGTACTCGATGTTTCTTTAATGCTTGGGAAAAATAATTCTCTCAAACTCATATAATTTTGATAATGTAATACTTTGAATGATAGTACCAAAAAAAAGAAAACAGATATTTTGAACTGAAAAATGAAAATATAGATTTAGGAGATAATCCCCTACCTGTATAACATTTTTAGTAAATAATAACTATTAAAGGCATACACATTTGAACAAAAACTTTATACATGAACAATTCCTTTTACTTTACTTGTCATTTTGGCAATCTATTTATAATGATTCATTCTCTAACTTGGTAAAGCAGTACTTGCACAGCACAGATGTCACATCAGGCACATGCAGACCATTTCAAATGTAAGAAATTGCATGTCACAAAAAAAACAAATACCTAATTACTATTACAGGTTTATACTTTCACAAGGAACACCTGCTACTGGTACTTCTAGAAACAATTTTTCTGTGTGTTTGTTTTTTCTTCATTGGCTAGAGGTATAGGGGGAGGGTTGAGATCTAACAAAACATGTTTAACCCCGCCACATTTTTGCGCCTGTCCCAAGTCAGGAGCCTCTGGCCTTTGTAATTCTTGTATGATTTTTTATTTTAGTTCATTTATATGTTTTGGAGTTTAGTATGACGTCCATTATCACTGAACTAGTACACACATTTGTTTAGCATGTTTAGGGGCCAGTTGAAGCATGCCTCTCTTTTCTTGCTGTGTTGAAGACCCATTGGCGGCCTTCAGCTGTTTTCTGCTCTTTGGTCGGATTGTTGTCTCTTTGACACATTCCCCATTTCCATTCTCAATTTTATTCTATTTATAATTTTACATTCCACTCTCTCTCTCAACTTTAACACCATGGTTACACTATGATGTTGAATTCAGACTTCCTGATTTATACTAAAGCTTCTTTGTACAATTTGTATCATGATGGCAATGCTTTCATTTATTATTTAACTAAATCAGAGCTCCAGATAAGAATTCACAAATTGGGGTTTTTACCCACTAATTTTGATGTAATATTATGTGAAAAAAAAATTTCAATTGCATAATTAATTCCTATTCACCCCTCATGAAAATATCAAATTGGGTTTTTCATCACCAAGCTCCTGAATCAATGTATTGGGTTTTTTTCATCATCTAAATTTTGAGTTGATCATTGAAGGCATGTCATAATATAATCATATCAAACATTAAGATGTTCATCCACGGTTATCTTAAAATATGTTTCTTTCAAGTATGTATGTGAAAGTCGTTTTATTTGATTTAAACACTGATGAGCAATTTTTTTGTTTGATTTGTGTCTGGTTTGTTTTTAATTTCCCCCCGTTTTGTATTTTCTGTCAATTTATTTAAACTGGTGTTACTAGTGATGGAGTAACTGATAACCCATCTAGAGCACATACATGTACCATTACACCTGGTATTGTTGTGGTTATAATAACAATCTGTTGACATTAATGCTTGTTAGCATTTTATTTTTCCAGGTATGTCTCGATCATTGGAACTCATACCACATCTTCTTATATCTATATGGTAAACAAAATGCTGTCATGATTTATTATCATTATATGTAACAATCTATTTTAGAACGAAAGTAGATTTCCTAATATTGCAAAAATTGCTTTACGCGACAAACAATTTATTAATAAGGGTAAATAATGCACAAGATAGGGACAAGTAAGGTTGACAATGCATAGTTTTGACATTTAAAATTGGGTTTTATTTTTAATGAACACTACATTTGTCAATTGAATTGGGTTTTCAATTATTTATAACGCAATAACGCAGCTTATCTCACTCAGACTCAGAGCTCTGAAATTTACTGTTAGACATGATAGAGGTGCCTATGCTATCATGCAGTATCAAACTGGTGTTGTGAAAAACACGGTTTGATACTGATAGCATAGTATAGCGGTTGGTAGAAGCGAATTCGAAACCCTCAATCTCGGGATCTAAACTTGACTCATAAAGGCAGCGCTCTAACCAATTGAGCTAAAGAAGATCTTCCCTAACTCAACTAGTCAGACTACCTTTATATATCTAGGTATTACAACACTGTTATTATTTTTTATGGGGGGGGGGGGGGGGGGGGGTGTTTGTGAAAAAGGGACATAACTCTTACAAAAGTAATAGTAATAATAGTATATACACTTTGTAATGATATCATGCCTTTTTCTACTGGAACAAATAAAATCTTGACGCCTGCGTGCCCGCATTGGTTTGCAATCGATTACAGTCTTCAACAAGAAATATAATTTGGTGCAGGGTGCTTTTTTTTATAAAAAGGGAGATAATCTGATCCGAAACAATTTACATATATGTTTTTTCGGATTTCGATATTGCTCCCAGTAAAGATTAGATTTATACACTAAAAATTGTATTTCATAAGCATATAGGCTATTTAATAAGTTTACAAGTTCTATTTTATCACCAAAATTCTCTTGTTTTTATAAAATATTCTTAAATACGAAAATAAATCATACAAAATGGCTACTAAAAAGAAGCAAAAAATTGTCTCAAAAGATGATTTAAGAAAATTGATGAAAGAAAAGACCTTTTCCATTAAAAGAGTGTCTAAAAAGATTGAACACCCGTTAGCAAAGTAAGGCAATTTTTGTATGCTAAAAACCTTGTGATTAAAAAGACAGAACATAGGATAAACAGTGTTGGAGATATAAAGGTAGTCGCGTACGTCAAACTAGTTGAGTTAGTGAAGATCTTCTTTGGCTCAATTGGTTAGAGCGCTGCCTTTAGATCCCGAGATTGAGGGTTCGAATCCCGCTAGTACCATCCATGGATTTTCACATCGACAGCTTAACAAATGGACAAATATGGCTGTAGTAACAGTGGTTTGATTCCGCCAGTGCCAGTGCACTTTATCCGGAGGATGAAAATTCCTAGTGTTTTTTATCCACCAACAAAAAAATCACTAGGTTTTTTAATCTGGGTCCAGTTTATATGGGGACGAAGTCCCCTATTACAGTAGAAAAATCAATAAAAAAAAAAAAAAAATAAAAAAATCCGGGAAAATTTCCCGAAATTTTCATTGTACTAATGAACTCAAAATCGTTAACTTTTTTTTTCAGACTTTTTTTAATTCCCGCATTTGCGCAGAAATCTACTTCCTTCTTCCGGTCTCGTTTGTCATGAGACTTTGAGTGAAACATATATTTATCAGCCCAGTAAAATATAGGAAGGAACACAATAACAATTTCATTTCTAATTATTCTTTGATATGAAAAAACGTTACCTGAGGATAGCGTTTCTTTGTTTACATTGAATATGACGTCATGACTTAAATAACGTCACAACTAAAATCCCTAACAACAGAACCAAAATCGGAAACGTTACGGTATTTCCGTTTCTTTTTTAACAGATTTAGAACTTAAAATATGTTTGAATTAAAAAAAAAAAATTTATATAGACTTCGTCCCCTTTTAACAGGTAATGCCTGCCTCATATTAATATCCACCACTCAACATAGATTCTAAAGATGGTTTTTGAAGGGGAAATATATAAAAAAAAAATATTGCTTGGTATATTTGGGGGGGTATTTGAATTAACTAAAACTTGGATAGTTGATTTAGGTAAAAAATGGACAAAGTAAACTTGTGTTTTTTCATCCAAGGAATGTTCGAATTCACACTAGTGTTTTGAACCAGGAATGATTACACTAGTGATTTTGAACCAGAAAAGATTGCACTAGTTATCTTGAACCGGGAATATTGAACATTTTCAACACACTTTCTTTCTTCGCATCCATTAAAACTGTCTGTCCCTCATTTTTTGTGTAATCCATTCCATGGCTTGTATTGATTACAAATACGTCTTTTTTCGCTCTTAATTCTTCTTTTTTCATTTTCACATGAATCTTCAGGATATTTTTGCAATTTTAAATACTAGAGAAGTGTTTCATATCCCTTCTCATCCATTTCGAAAGTAAGTGTGAAAACCTACATTTTATATGTTGTACGACTTTTAATACTACATGTACTATACCATAAAACAATTCAGATTAATTAAACTGGTTCCTTGAAAATTATTCTAATTATAACCCATTAATTTATGTTAACAATAAACAAACCAGTCTAATATCAACAAAACAATGATATCAAGATCGACGTTTTCACACTATTTACATCCAATATTCTGTAGTGAAAAACAGGTACCCGGAATAAATACACGTTGGAAAGAATTATGCTTATAAATGTAATCATGGTAATATTTACAACTCAAAAACTCCTCAGACTTACCTGTGCACATTGGAAAGTTTTTAGGCCTGGCATCCACTAGATATATAAAAGTTAAATGATTTTGTGTTTCAGAAAGATTAAATCATTTTCGGATTTTGATGGGCATTTTTTTTCCTTTCTGCAGAAGGTGTAAAAATCGGTCTCACTAATTAGCGACAAGAAGCGCAAAGAAGCGACAAGAAAGTTTATTTTCTCCCAAAACAATAGATTTATAGAAAATAAATCATCTGATTATACTAAGTATCCATAAAAAATAGAGTAAAATGGCAATCAAAAATTAAAAAAAATTAAAAAATGACCCCCCTTTTTATCAAAACATTCATGAAAACCTTATGTTTTTTTATTAATAATGCAAATATTTGAACCTTTTATCCTGTTATGACAGAAAAATTTGTGTCATGTATTTATATATATATATGTATTGCCCTTTTGAGTCTGAAATAAATCTAGATTATATTATCTTATAATTTGGTTTGAATCTTAACTTTGATACACCAACCATGCCGACTCTACATAAATATTGATTCATTCATCTATATACTATGCTGTAAACTGAAGGTATATTATCTTTAACATATATCAAGAACATATATATTGATATACTGTTCCCAGCATATACATGTATTAATGAAAAAAAAAAGTTTATTCTCTTGTTTCTCGCATGTAAAAAAAATTAAAAAAATTATTTATTTTGAATAATTGACATTTAGATTTTTTACTCTAAATTTGTTTTCTTGTCAATAAATTATACTTCTTGTCGCTATATTATTCTTCTTGTCACTAATTTGTTTCATCTTGTCGCTTCTTGATGCTTTTTGACACTTCTTGTTTCTAATTAGTGAGACCCGTAAAAATAAACAAACACCTGAATTGCATTTGATACTGTCCACTCAGTTGCACCCTTTAACACACCTACAATGTTATTATGTATAGATGTGTAGATATCTATTGTCCATGCCAATCAAGGACAATCAATACAATACAAAACAGGTGTTACCTGAGAGTGAGAGGGACAATCTCAAAGTTGTATCCCAACTTAGTTTATTTTTACACCTTCTGCAGGAAAAAAAAAAATGCCCAGTAAAATCCAAAAAAGATTTTATCTTTCTGAAATGCAAAATGCATTTAACTTTTATATATCTAGTGGATGCCAGGCCTTAAAACTTTTCCGACTGAACAGGTAAGTCTGTACTAAGAGTAGTTTTAGAGGTGTAAATACAGCCATTTTTATACGACCGCAAAAAGTTTTGTGGTCGTATATTTGTATGACGCTGGCATCGTCGTCTTCGTCGTCGTATGAAGACATATTGGTTTTCGCACAATAACTTTAGTTTAAGTGAATGGATCTCTATGAAATTTTACCATAAGGTTCAATACCACAAAAGGAAGGTTGGAATTGATTTTGGGGGTTATGGTACCAACAGTTAAGGAATTAGGGGCCAAAAATAAGCATTTTTCTAGTTTCCAGACAATAACTTGTGTTTAAGTGTATGGATCTCTCTGAAATTATACCACAAGTTTCCATACCACAAAGGGATGGTTAGGATTTGCTTTGGGGGGTTATGGCTCAAACTGTTTAGGAATAAGGGGCAAAAAAGGGGAAAAACAAGGGTGTCCTGGTTAATGGACAAATACATTAGTACAAAACATAATTTAAAGCAGTGTAAGGGAGGTAATTCAAAAAGAAATGCATATTTATAAAGGAAGACCAGTAAAAATATCTGCAAATGTTGCATCTTTTTTTTTTTACCAAAAAATCCATATGAAAGATTTGACACCATATTTTAAATTCTATTATGAAATAGATTAAGTTAGCACTATGGTAAATTTAAATGGGTAATTATGGTTGCAAACTCCATTGGAAATTTGAATTGAGATTATGACCATATCTTGAGGGAAAGAATTTTTTTTGGGGAAAAAGGGGGGGGGCGGGGGTAAAAAGAAATTGTGGGGGGTCAATTTTTTCTCATTTCAGATTTCAGAAATTAAAAAGAAAAATTCTTCAAATATTATTTATTGTCCATTTGTTATGTTGAACCTTAAACAATTGGCTACTGTACAGTCTACTGTCACAGTCTAGGTCGGAAGCAAGACAACTCGTCCAAGACAAACTCGACCAACTTTCTATCAACCTGCCCTGCTTTCTACCAATACACCCTACTCATGTTTACAAACTTGTAGTTGCCCCACTGTCATGACTGTTAAAAAGGTTCCCGCTGAATTTAAACCTACCAAATCACCCCACTAACAAAAAAAAGTCATATCCCTACCTAATTCTTAAAGTTACTTAATGCAGACTGGCAATGGCCAACTACTCCAATTTTGGCAGTATCATTCTGTTAATGCCTCAACCTGATATTGGAAACGGAAAACAAGTCAAAATCCTGATTTGCTTCTCTGATGGGTCATAACGATCCTCAAAATTAATTCATTTGTTAACAGAATCGGTCAGTCAGCATTTCAATTTTAAACAATTTATCATATGATCACAATTTGCAACGTTTACTGTAGTCTCAGGACAAAATCGTAATTAACCGAAAGACGAAAACTGTAATGAACTCATTAGTAAACAGCGTTTATCTTAAAATCCGTGAACATTTTTGAAATAATATATAAGACATGTTTCTGTCCAGTTCTGATTTAAAATTGATGCCATTTTGTATTCACTTCTACTGTGTATAAGCGTCAGCCGGTAAGAGCACCTCTGAACTCAAAGAAAGATAGATCTAATTTTATTCATTTTCTCATTAATACTGATAGACTAACTCAAGATCTGTCTTCATACTTTTAACTAAAGGACATTTAGGTTAAGGTCTTTTGAGTCATGGTGCAAAGATAAGAAGGTATTTGGATTGGGAAAGAGGGGACTTCACTTTTTATCCTTTATTTTTTTAGGCCATTTATCTCAATTCTTAAATTATTTTGCCAATTAATAAGTACAAGAATCATGCAAATAAAAAAATCAAGGCTTATTATCTTATCATCATTATACCAAAAGAGAAAAGAAGAGATATTAGACTATTACAAGAGAAACGCTGCAAAAATAGTAACTCTTAAAAATCTGGTCACTCACTAAAGCCCCCATGGAGATTTAATGTTATATCATATCTTTGGTTGATCAGGTCTTCTTTTTATGGTACCTTCTCAGTTTTCCCAAAGTGACTATATTTGTCGAACATAACATTGACCAAAAATACTCGTCCGAATTCGGTAGGGAATACTAATTCAGACGGCTTGGTCACATTCAAATGATGACACCTCCTTTGATTTGAGTTCCATTGATGCATTTGATTGTTATATCTTGAACATGTACTATTAATTATTTTATGCCTAACAAGATAAATAAGGATGATCATTGCATAATCAATAACTAATTTGATGATTTTTACAAATTTAACCTGGTTGCTAAATAATATGTTTTACGTTAATTAGAAAACAGTCACATGAAAAGATACATTAATAAAATGAATAAAATTACTAATATATCTTTACATTGTTAGCTATAATATATGAAAAGTGCTCCAAGTAGTCTTTTAAATTTTCTGTATTTCCTTCAAAAGTGTCTGTGTTGTCTTGGGGGAAATTTTCATTCCAGTACAGAAATGAATTCAGGGTTGGATAAAGGCAAAAACCTGGGTTTTCTGAGTATTGCTCAGCCTAGTGGGACATACTGGGTTTTATATGTACCTTGTGATACTGGGCAATACTGGGTGTTAATATAAAATACTAGACAGAATCTCATTGAAGATTCAGTGATTAATTAACAAATATCACCATGATGAAAGATATATACCGGTATAAATGGTATAAGACTGGGTGTCTATTAGACATACATGTAGTACATTGTATTTAAAGTTATAAGTTCACTTGAATCATTTCTGTACTGGAATGAATATAGCAAAAAAAATTATCACTTCATTGTAGTTGGAATACATATATGTACACAGTTATAATTCTAACATTATCATTTTAGGTATAACAGTTTGGACCAATTAACATGTGCTTTGTGTAATATAGTTGTTAAGTCTGATGCATTGTGGGTACCCCATTTACAAAGCCGTCAACACAAAGAGGTAAAGATTTCACAATATTAAAAATTTGATTTAGTTTTAACTATTACCACATGTAGTAAAGAAAGGTCCAACTAATTAATTAATTTTGTTTATTGACATTTGATGATATGAAGACTAGTAAAGTTTAAATCTCTATTAAACAAACAAAACAGATTTAGATATGAATGTAAGGTGATATGTCATTGTAAGTAAGACAGTTACCCACCAAAGATCACAGAGAGACCTGGTTTAGAGGATGAACATCTGTTCATTTATTAATATTGCCTCTGAACTTTTAATCATATTTATTTTCTCAAATTTTCTTTGAGAATTAATTTTGAGCAGATTTTTTTTCAGCCCATTGTATGGAAGTTATTTGAACATTTATGTGTGTACTTGTAGTAAAAGTGACTGTTAGACCTGACAAGATGTCTAGTAAAAATTGCAAGTTCTACAGTCAAGTAAAATACTGCTTCTATTTTTTTGCCTGAATTGAACTAAAGGAGTGCTCTCGAAGTTAATTATAATCATTAATGATTTGTTTACAGACAGTTGAACTTGTAAAAGCACCCGGTCCAGCAGTGCAGAAGAGAAAACTTCCCCCAGAACCTGATATACCTAGTAAAAAACAGAAAGGTAGGCTGATATTTGCTGGATCATTACAATACATCAAATATAACAAAATCCTGTGTACTGATATATGAATACTCTGTCATTCAATACCGTGAACTGATGTTCATTCATTCATTTATTGTAAAACAGTATAAAAACCCATTGGTATCCTTTGGCTGTTATCTGCTCTTTGGTCGGGTTGTTTTTTTTTCTCTTTAACATATTCCCCATTTCCATTCTCAATTTTATTATACCCCACGCAACGAGTTGCGGAGGGTATAATGTTTTTGACCCGTCCGTCTGTCCGTCTGTCTGTCCATCAGTCCTGTTTCTTGTCGTCACAACTCCTCTCAAACCACACAACAGAATTTCACGAAACCTTTTTAGATAATAAGGACATACTATGTAGTTGTGCATATCGACAGGAAATTACGATTTAATTTTTTTTTCTAGGAGTTACGCCCCTTTGAACTTATTTACTTTAATGTACTACTGCAACAGTTTGTCATCTCAACTCCTCTGAAACCACACAACAAAATTTCATGAAACTTTGTAGATAATAAGGACATACTACGTAGATGTGCATATCGACAGGAAATTACGATTCAATTTTTTTTCCAGGAGTTACGCCCCTTTGAACTTATTTGCCTAATATACTACTGCAACCTTTTGTCATTGCAACTCCTCTCAAACCACACAATAGAATTTCATGAAACCTTTTCAGATAATAAGGACATACTACGTAGATGTGCATATCGACAGGAAATTACGATTCAATTTTATTTCTTGGAGTTACGCCCCTTTTTAACTTATTTGCTTCAATATACCTCTGCAACAGTTTGTCATCCCAACTCCTCTGAAACCACACAACAGAATTTCATGAAACTTTGTAGATAATAAGGACATACTATGTAGATGTGCATATCGACAGGAAATTATGATTCAATTTTTTTTTCTTATACAATTTTTTTTTTCTTACAGTTATTTTATTTCTCCAGTGACAATGTGGGGACGTGGGGTATGTGAGCGTGCTCACTAAGGTTCTTTAATTAGGGTTGGCAATTCTTTCATTCAGTATGGGGATCAAAAAGAAACAATTCTTTGACATATTTATACTTGGTTGATGTTTTTTTTTTTCATTCTAAGCTTTTGTGGAGGGAATTATATATCTTTTACAATTATGCCTTATTATGTGATACTTAAGTTAATTTATAAGGTATGTCTTGTCAATTTTAAATTGATACACTTTTAGTTTTGGACATTTGCATTTATAACATGAGAATGAGGGGCCTGATGGGATATTTTCGTTCTTCGTGATCGGCGCATTTTCGCTATCGTGATCCGTTTTTCTACAGTTTTTTTTTTTTATATTTTCGTGATCCGTGATCATGGAAATTTATTTTCTGTGAATCGCGATTGACAAAAAAATCAACTCGTGAATCGTGATGAGACCCCCCATCAGGCCTTTCGAGAATCATTTGAAACATACGTATTTATGAACATTGAATCACAACTTCAATTTGAGGAATAAATGTAGTACATTGTACTGTATTTTGAAGAGTAGTCACACTGGCCATCATTGGCATCAATTGAAGATTTCATAGTTGCAAATGCAGTTTAACTAGGGATAAAGAGTGGATCTAGTAAAATTTGTATTTGTGACTGTCAAATCCTAAAATCGACAGTTACAACTTTTTAAATTCTGCACTGTTATTCCTATTCTATACTCAAAATTTAACAATTCGAATATGTCAGAAATATGAAATGTGATTGCACTATATGTTGTGAACAATGACTTTTACTCATATCAAAATTTGCATTACATGAATTGTTGCATTAGAATTAAAATTATTGATGTCAGATATACCACAATTGTTCTGAACAAAAACTTATAAATGTCAAATCGCTTACTTCAATTTTACAGATAATGGAAAGACGAAGGGGACTGCTGGGTAAGATTTTATGTGTGGTACCGGTAGTTTGTAGAAAGATTTAGTTCTCATTATAAAAGTGCTGTTCCTTTGCCTTTTGTATGTTTTTTTTGTTGTTGTGCATGTACTGATTTTGTGTCATGGATAGATACCCCATATCCTTTGTTTTTCTATTACAAATTTTAACTTGATGTAGATATACTGCACTGAACCATGCTGAACTCAATTCAGTAATATCAAGATTATAGACGATTCAATAACATTATGAATAAATATGATGGTCTACCTTTTCACACTTAATGCAGAATTTACATTTGTTACACTTGTCTCTGTTTCTTACAAAAATGTCATTGACCCTTAGGTCTATTTCAGAGGCCATTTGTGCAGTTTTTCCATAAGTTTAATTGCCTAAATCAAACATGTAAGATAAAGTTAAGAGCACATTCTGTACAATTTATCTGTTTCACAAATACTTATTTGATTGTATCACTGGAAATATTAATGCTGCATGAATCAATTTTTTCCATAATTCAGATGCACATCACCTGTTCTAAATGAATAAAAAAAAATCATAAAAATCTGAAATATTCCTCAATAATGTTTTCTATGCCAGTTTGCCTAAATAATATGTTTGATGAACTTAATTTTAGATTACCAGCTGATTTTTACGATAATACTACAAAGAAAACAGCTTTAAGTTTGGCTGATTACTCGTCTGATGAAGAAAGTGAAGAAGATGAATCAACTGTAACAAAAACAACAACAACAACAACAACATCAAACCTGGGTCATCCTTCATTACCACCAGGTAAACTAGGCTTGAATTTCCTCCGTTCACTGTAGACACAGGTTGCTATAGAATAGGATTATCTCCCTTTACAAATCATCTGTAGAAAAAACATCAACAACAACAACATAAAACCTGGGTCATCCTTCATTACCACCAGGTAAACTAGGCTTGAATTTCCTCCGTTCACTGTAGACACAGGTTGCTATAGAATAGGATTATCTCCCTTTACAAATCATCTGTAGAAAAAACATCAACAACAACAACATCCAACCTTGGTCATCCTTCATTACCACCAGGTAAACTAGGCTATAATTACTCCCATCACTTTATACACAGGTTGCTATTGATTAGGACTATCTCCCTTTACAAATCATCTGTAGAAAAAACAACAACAACATCAAACCTGATCTTAATTTTACCACCAGGTAAACTAGACTTTAATTACCTCCCATTACTTTAGATACAGGTTGCTTTAGATTATAATTATCTCCCTTTACAAATAATCTGAAGCAAAAATATCAATAACAACAACATCGAATCTCACAGACCCTTCAGTTTACCACCAGGTAAACTAGGTATGAATTACCTGCCATAACTTGAGATGCAATACAAATTGTAAAACTTTCCTTAGTACCAAGTAGTTATTGATTATGATTATCTCCCTTAAATAAAAAGCTTCAAGTCATTCTTGGATACCTAGTTAGCTCTAATTAGCAGGATGATCACTTCTCATACTTTGTTTCTAAACTACCGTAAATTGGGAAATTTTGGCTTCAGGATATTTTGGCGGTTTTCTCTTAAAAGGCATGTGTTTTATTTTGGTGTGTGTAATTTTGGTGCTTCGTCCAATTGATATGTTTAATTTTGGAACATCAGTAGTGAGCAAGCTCATTCATATTTGCTTTTTTTTACTCGTTTATTGACAAAATATCATTGAATTTCTTAAACTAGAAACTTGACAAAGTTAACTTAATGAAGGAATCGGATATGGATGCAATTGCAAATAATTCCATATACCGTGATTCAAAACTGAAAGAAAATATGAAATCAAATTTTTAACATTAAAATCACTTTTTAAATAGATTATTTATTCAGTGTTCTCCCCAGGGCCTTTTAGCATTATGGTAATGTGATGCTATATTGCTAGAATGTGATGTTATCTGAAACTAGTTTCTTATAGATAGTGTTATGGATGTGATGCTATAGTTTCTAGAAACAAGATGGTATTTCATAAATTCCTGTTTACCAGGATGATATAAGAAATTTCCGAGGAGATCACTGTTTATTTTTTACAAATATCATATGAAATAAATTTTAATCATCTCTATTGCAGTACATGTTAATCTATTGACGATCAAGGATTTAAATTTTAATCCTTATGCCTCCGGCAGTACATGTTAACTAATTGAAGATAAAGGATTACAAGCAGTTTTGATATTCAAATTACCAATAACGGCGTCTAATCAGCAACAGCCTGGCAGATTTATGAAATGTGTGAATAAAAATTCATGTTGTGTTTTCTTAACAAATTTAGAATATTGACAATTAAGGATAAATGTATAGTGTTGTTGTCATTTATATCAGGTATTTATTTGCAGATTTGGCTATGAATAGAATTGTAGGAAATATTTTCCCCAACAATTAACATAACGATATTGTCGTACCGGTACGCGATTTTGGTGTTTTAGTGTTTAGTGTTTGCTTTATTTTCGTGTGTTTAATTTTGGCACTTTCATTGGAGGCACCAAATAAACCAAAATAAAACTACAACCAAAATAACCCAATTTACGGCACAATCATGACATCCCTCGACGTAGAATTATAAGTTACCTAAATATACATGTACCATCAATAAAGCTGGATTATCTCTGATGATTACTTTATGAAATAAGGATTGCCTCCCTTTTCTTTTGACTAACAACAAATCTTCATAACTTTTCATTTCCAACATATAAATTAGAACTACTTCTGAGTCAACTGGAGTATACGGACAAATTGATATAGTCACTTGCAGACTTTTTTTCGTTTTCTAAATATATAAGTGATATGGTTGATATTATCCTAAGCTCTGCAATTAAAAAAAATTGTTTACCTACAAAGGTCGACAAGTTGACAATAACAAAAAAATTTCTACCTACAAAGGTTGGCATTATTGACACTTGATGGCTTGTGCCCTTTTTTAAATATGGATGATTGTTATATATAGGTAAAGAAAGCACAGTTTATTACTTTGAATTTGAAATTAGATAGACAGTAATAAAAGAACATTTAGTATAAAATGTTTTGCCTCGGTTGACAATGTTTTCTCAGGGTACCAATCTGCTCTATCTCTCTCTCAGCTTTGTGTTATTTATATACTGGTATTGCTTTAGGTCCATCAAAGTCATAATTTGTCAGGAAAAATCAGCAGGGGTTTTCAGCAATCAATATTTTTTTTTTCAGACTTTTTTGACAGTGGTAATAAACCTGAAGTAGAAGATGAACCCAAAGAAAAGGTCATGGCTGATGTTCTTCCTGAGGGATTCTTTGATAACCCAAAACAGGACGCCAAGGTCAGTGATTCTAGATTTATAAGGCTTTAAGAGTGCATGCAGCCTGTGGGCCTTTTCCTAATGTTTTGTATGCCTGTCCATAACAAGAACAGGTAGTTATAAGGCTCTATGTGACCATAAAATTATTACAAAAATTAAGTGGCATTTTTCCTGTGTATGGCATACAATCAACACTTTACCATACAAACAATATATGATATACAATGGGATCTCTTTCATAGTTGTGTTTCTTTTTGATACCAGACTAGTATCCATGTCTGATTATCTGAGTTATTTCTCTTTTTAACAAATTAGTTAAAACCAAATCTTTTGAAGTTTTGAAGTTTTAGGATAAAGTTATGGACATAAAAAAAAAGCTGCAGATTGTTTTCGGTATTGGACATTATCGTTCCTTGGTTATAAATTTGCCCTTTCTAAATCTAAAATTGGTATGTTATGTTTCAAATAGATTATCCAGTCAGTTATGAATTTATTAAGCAATTTAGTTCGTAAGACTTATAAGGCAATCTTCCAGACTAAATGTAAAATATTTTTTTCTGTAAAGTATGTATTAGATCTGATGTTTATATCAGTATGAGTAAAATAGAATGATATGTTCATTACGGTGAAAAACATCACATGGTAGAAATGTGTAAATTATACCACTTTTTGTTTTACAGGTTAGAAAAGTGGAATATAAAGACAAGATGGAAGAAGAATGGGAAATGTTTCAGAAAGCAATGAAGGAAGAAACTCATGTTAGTAATTGTTTATCTATGATAATTATCAGTGGACTTGTAAAAATGCTGAATTTTAATCATTTTTGAAGAAAAGCATTGACGGAAGAATTCATGTTAGTAATTGTTTAACTTTGATGATTATGAGAAAATGCTGCATTTTAATAAAAAAAAAATTATATTATTAGTTTAGCAAACAGAATTCCACTGCACAAAAAAGAGAATTATACATTACCCAGCATTGTCATTGGTTTCAGTCAAGAGTTGAATTTAGGAGGCATGTTAATCAAATATATCATAACTTTCAAACCTTGCTAAGTGATATTTTATTAACAGTTTGTAGGGCCCAGCCTACAAAGTGGCTTTGTAGAAAACTATCCATGAGTTTTCTTTTTTCAGTTGTCAAAAGAAATATCTGTTCTAATGCAAGAAAAACATTCAGTGTTGATTTAAAAAAAAATTCTTTAAGATAGATAGGACTTACTTATTATACAAGCAGTGTTTTCCATTCAGCATTTAAGCTGGGTGTGACCCCTCCAACAGTAAAAAAACCTGGTTTGGAAATGTTAAAACAAAAAAAAACCACCCGGTTGCAAGTGATTTTTTCAAAACACCCACCTTACCTTAGTGAAAAATGGAGAACACTGATACAAGGATGTGAAATCATTGATGTTGCAGATTGAACTTATTTTGATTCAAGGGAACATGGTTTTGTGCTTACCAACCTTTCTGTTTTATTTCTCTTTTTACTTGAAACCAACATTAAATGATTTAGAATTTTCAATGAAAAAAAAAAAAAGAATTTCTTCATTAAACCTTGTTTAAAATAGTTTTTACTTAAAATTTAGCACTCATTCCCTTTAAATTCGTATGTCCAAGATTGATTACCAGTGTGTACAGTTTAATTGTCATTTGCCTTTTGAAAAAAAAATGGGTAGGTGTTAGGTTCTGGCAATGACCAGCTGCTCTTTTACAGGGAAAAACTCAGAGTAAAAATACTCATAGATAATGAATATTTTGGCAAAACTAACAATAAATAATCAGTTTTTGTGAGAAAGGGTCACAGAATCCCTAGCTACATGAACTATAGGAGAACAACAGACATATCTCAGACACCAAATGCATTGTTTCAGATCATTTTAAATTGTAGAAATATATCTTCTTTAATTTAATGGAATGAAGATAGTGAAATAGAATAGATTAATGATTGAAATTTAATTGATAATAGCTAAATTTTATATCGTTACTTATTATTTATATACCGACTACAATCAGCTTTGTGAATGTTAATAAACTATAGTTTATGATGATTTAATTTTCATTTTATTATCTTGCAGATTTTTTATTGAAACTTACTTTTACCCAGGGAAAACAAAGTCCATTTCTTCAGTTATCAACAAATTTATGTAGACTTCTAATATGTAAAGATCAATTTTTTTAGGTACCGGTAGCCTAGAAAAGAACTAGCTTTAGTTGGTTTTTTCATGTTGGCATGTTATTTTTGAAATACAATAACCCTGACACATTTTCCTTTATGATTGTCAGGTATCTGAAGCCATAGTAGAAGAAGAAGATGAGCAGATTAACGTAGACAGAAATATAGAGGAAATAGATGATCAAATGTAAATACACTTAAAACACAACTTCAGCTAAGGAGGATTTTGTTGATTTGTTTGCCTGCCGTGGGCACCCACATCTGTCCAGTGTTATTTAACTCATATTTTGAAAAAAAATTGAATACGAAAGTTTAATATTTTTATTCATCGCATTTTACGTGCAAGTCTCATAATGATTAAAAACAAGTCATGTTCAATCCATAAAGTGTTTATTTGGTGTTAAATCCATCTTTAGCACTAATTTTCAATTTCGTCATGGTCTGGTTTTTTGGTGGAGGAAGCCAGAGTGGCCGGAGAAAACCTTGGACCTTGGATAGGAAAACTGATAATCCTAGTCAATTGAGATTTGAGTGGAGTGCACCTGCCATCTGCAGAATTCGAACTCAAAACCTCAATGTTGACAGGCTAGTGATACAGTAGTTCAACTACTTAGACCACGGTCACTAAGGCCCCTGCATAAAGTGAACATAGGGATCTAGAAGTATTGCCACTCTGGATGTTGGGAAAATGACAAAATACTTCCCTGGTCAAATTAAGACTTCATTGTACATGTCTGTCTGATAGGGTTCATCTAACCTTGACTTCATTTTCATGGTTCATTGGTCAATATTAAGTTTCCATAGTTAGGTATACTTCTCAGATACTATAAGCAATAGGTCACCTGTATTTAGTGTATGGAATGATAGCATGGTGAACAAGTTTTCTGGCAGGGTTCATCTGACCTTAACCTCATTTTAATAGTTCATTGGTTAATGGTTAGTTTTCATAATAAAAATTTGTTTCTCATATACTATAAGCAATAGGCTTACTATATTTGGTGTACAGTGTGCTGCTACAGAAACAAAATAATCCTTTCTCTAGTTGTACATATTATCTGAAATGAAATTAAAAAAAAATCTTATGATAATACCAATATTTTTTTCTTTGCAGAAATCGTTGGAAAGAAGTGAACGATTTAACAATAAAAAAGGAAGAAATGCCTCATAAATGTGACAATAAATCCTCTGATAGTGATAATGATAGTGATATAGACATTGATAATATGGAGGATTTGTTAGATTGGCGGGCGAAAAAAGTCAAAATAAAGAAATGACAAGATCACTTTTGTTGTTATTATCAAACTGTCTGTAGATATAAGAAGATGTGGTATGAGTGCCAATGAGACAACTCTCCATCCAAGGCACAATATGTAAAAGTAAACAATTATAGGTCAAAGTACGGTCTTCAACACAGAGCCTTTGCTCACACTGACAGCAAGCTATAAAGGGCCCCAAAATGACTAGTGTAAAACCATTAAAACAGCAAAACCAACGGTCTAATCTATATAAAAAATGAGAAACGAGAAAACTAATGAATTTCATTTTTATTTCTACAGAGTCATAAATACAGTCATTTATGGGGCTAGCAAGGAAAGGAAGTTTTACATTGTGACTTGGATTGGCACAAATGTCCCCCAAAAAAACTCAGACAAAAGACTCTAAGCGCTAATCTATGAGTACTCACAGTTTTTGAAAGTTAGTTCAAAGTAAATAACAACTAATAAACAATTCATAGTATCCCAGACTAAGAATATAAAAACTACAGATATAGGTAAACCATCCATGACACAAAATTAGTACCTGCACAGCAAAAAATACAGAAAAGAATGTTTATTTGATGTACTCAAAATTAAAGAAAGTATGGTTGTTGTGGAATATTCGAAGTCCACTCATATGATAATGGAATAGCTCAAAGTCCACTCATATGATAATGGAATAGCTCAAAGTATGTTACTGTTGTCATTACATTACATTTGTGCAAGTACATTTATCAGCTATTAATTTGTGAACTACAAAAATTAACAACTAAGGACAAAAAAAATAAAGGAATTTCACACCATGATTTAATTAGCATGAATATATCAACCTGAGCTGTATAACAAATATTAAGCAGGAACTGCTAACCCTTCCAAAACACCAGAGTTCATCACCATTTTTGGTGGAATTTGTGTTGCTCAGTTTTTTAGTTTGTCTTTCAGCTCTTTCATTAATGACATTGTCAGTTTTCTTATACTTATTCTTATATCTGAATGAAGATGCCACTGCTAGTGGAGGTTTCCTCCCCAAGGGTATCACCGGCCCAGTTGTCAGGACTTCTGTCTGTGTTGACATGAAATATCATTGGTATGGTCATAATTATAAATTAACTGTTTACAAAACTCTAATTTTTTTTAAATACTAAAGTTTTTCTATCTCGGGAATAGATTACCTTACCTGTATTTGGCAAAACCTTTCGAAATTTTGGATCCTCAATGCTCTTCAACTTTATACTTTATTTTGCCTTTTTATCTTTTTGAGCCTGCATCACTGTTTAGTCTTTTCTAGACTGAACATGCACCTGGCGTACAAAATTATAATTCTGTTATCTGTGATGAGTTTATTGGAAAGACCTAGAAATTCGAAATAAAGTTATAGGTCCATGACAATGAATTTCAAATCAACTGAAATTGTTGAGGAATTTTTCATTTTGATTTTTGTTAATACAATAAAAGGTAGAGAATAACTTGCACATAATATTTATATAAGGTGTAAACTATCTCGTGACTTCAGTATAATGTAAAAAAAAATGTTTATCTAATTAGAGGCAACATATAGTATACCAATGTTCTAAACTCTTTTAAGTCTATTTTGCATATACCCCCACCCCATTCCAAAATCCCTCTTTTTTTGGAATTGTTATCCTACTTCCCACTTTTTTCTTTCTTTTCCACATGCCGACTTTCTTTAACAACCTATATTTCACATTCCCACTTTTTTGCCCCATTCATATCCCACATCCTCACTTTTATTAACCACTATATCCCACACCACAGATCTTTGATGATATTTTTGAACACATATAATAGATGTTGACCTGGAGTTGTGTTGGTCGATTTCAGTTGTTTTTATCTGATAAATCTGCTAATTGAGACTTTGCATTAGGAGTAATCCTCTGCTAATGACTTCCTTATAATGGAAACATGCCTTTACGTAATATGTCAATTGAGATATAGACACGCCACCTAATTGGGAGGAGTGAATGTCACTATTAGAAATGTGGAAAATGAAATCGACACGTTTGTTATAGATCCGAGTTTAGAAGTTTTTGCCATTATAACGAAATGATGTACTTATGAATCGGACCTATTTTCAGTAGTTTCCTGACCTTTATTTCAAGTTCACTGGGATTAATGAGGTGCAAGCGTTTTCAGAAATTTAGATTTTTAGATGAAAAAATAGATAGGGTTCCTGATAAATTTAAGATCCAGAAGAGCGAATCGGATGCATAAAATTTATAACCTGATGTTTCCATTTTTTACAGCAATGGATCGATACCTCTGCTGGTAGACAATCCCTGAGGGTATCATCAACTCAGCAGTCAGTACTTCTGTGTTGACATGATTAATAACAGATCTTTCTTAAATTGACCGTTTATAAATTTTGATTTTGTAAAGAAACAGATTTCAACTCCTCAGGTAAATTTGACCTTAGATGTACATGTAATTGGTTATTTTATTAGGTCCTTTTTGGTTATATAGCTCTTTAAATGTTTCGATTTTTGGAAAATGACGTTGTCAAAGCGTCAATTTTCCTATACCATTGTCCAGATGTCATTTTATCGCGTCCAAGCCGCCTTCCGAACTCGGTTCCGTATTTTTACATACCTATGTACTGTACAGAATTTCATTCTTAACCTGTCCATACGTTTATTGTTATTAAATGGTATTTTGAGCTATCCCTTTGGTATATTTATCATATTTATATGAGCTTTCTCTTTTATGTGCATATCTTTATAATCCGTAAAAAAATCAGAATATAAATAGATCTGAATAGATCCGTATTGTTATGGTTTTGGACTTTTTACATACCAATGATAACAAATCGCTATCGCTAGACAAATTAGTTCTTGAAAGAATGTCAACCTTTCTTGTCAGCTGAACTTTAAAATCATTCAAAAAATAATAATCGGAATCATCTTGAAATCATACGAAAGATAGTGGTCTTTATCAAGATCTAAGAAGTTTTTAAGAATCGAAAATTAGTAATACGGTTATATCCACGCGGTGCGTATGTATTTTGTTTACAAAGTTACTGCTGCAGACATAATATAGGTCAAATATCAAACAGAGGTCAGTTTGCAGAAGTTTTTCTGTCAAAAAGACTTTATTTCTTTCTGGATTTTTTCACTTTAAAAAGAATTAAAAGATGCAGAAACTTTATGAAAGGAGTAGGCAGTGCTCAATAAATCATACCAAAAGTATTTAAGGAAAGTTTTACCCTTTTCTCTGACATCGTGGTCTTGTCCATTTTTGAAACATCTACGATTATTTCATTACTTTTTCGAGTTAACAACTAAACTATTGAACCTGTATTGTTTTGAGAAAAGCATTCCCATTGTCCAGGTGTTCATTACAAGCCCGTATTTTACGATTACTTGTACTTGCATCGCTATTTTCAAAATCGGATACGAAAATTACTTGAAAATAAATAAAAAATATTTAGATATGCCATCCACTTTTCAATAACTATTAATTAAATATTATTTTAAAATCAATGTTAACAGTGGATGGCTTGGATAAGGAATGGCATTTAATGATTCCTAGAGATACAGCAAATAATGTGTAAACAGGAAGTTGTGAAGGGAGACAATTTCAGTGGGCAAAAGTGCTAAAACCAGTATTGTCAAATCTTGTAAAATATTTCTAGTGGCAATAATTCACATATTCAATGAATTTCATAAAATTACCAAACACAACTTTTAACGGCGGTTGTAATGTTTCAATTGGACACATTTATTTATTGATAATCCACCTTTAATAATAAAAAAAACTTCTTAAAAAAAAAGATTTCTATCATATTCATCTTGGAATATGATCAAATATGTTAGCCTGTTTTAAACATGTCTTTAATAATATTTCAGTACTTATGGAAAGAGTTATTCCATTTCTTCCTTTGATATTAAAGGATATACCAATTTTAATTGCAAAATTGTAATTTGATAAATGTAAATAAAAAACAAATGAAGAAATTCCAATTTTGTCATTGAAAACCTCCTTAATATGTGTAAGTAAATTATGAAGCTGTAAAGGATATATAACAAGTTTATAAGTCAAACAACTGAAAATGAGAAAAAAAAGATATACCTACTGTGCTACATTTGGGGATGGGTGGAAATAAAATCAAATTATTTAAGTTATCTAGTCATTTTAATTTTTAAAGTTTAATTAATATTTAAAATGTCACTTATTTGCATTTCTGTTAATGCACATGGCACATGTATAGAAAATCCAGGTTTTTGTCTATTTAATATAATATAACTAACATGGTAGTTATAAATAAATGTAACATCAAGTCACAAACACGAAACTTAAGGTGAATCAATCTTAAATCGGGCGCTAAATACCACAGTGCTATAAAATAAATCCTGGGGAGAACACTGGATTGTATTGCTTTCAGAGTTATATAATACACCTTGCCTAAGAAAAAGGTCTAGCTAGGTCCTTATAAAAAATGAGGCTATAATGATGTAAATTAACATATTTACATTACCGCTGCATTTTTTGCATTTAATTTTATATATCATATATGTACATAGAGAACAAGATTAAATGCACATGGGTTTGATTACCACCCTAGGCATTAATTTTAATAGGTGGCAGCAAATAGGGCAGATTGGCTTATATATGTGGTGTCCCACATCTACTCTGATGTTCCTAAGTCTCAAAATTCAGCTTGCCCTGGCTAAGAACTCAACATCTTTCTTTTCTTAGTACTAGTATAGATCAGCAGCTCCTCTGAGGATTAGTAATGGAACACTTTATATATAGTCCAGTGGCTTAGTCCTGTCTTTTTTTTCCTTATTAATATTATTATTATATTTCTTATATTTTCTTGTTAGCCACCAAGCCACAAATCCTATTTTTCCCTATGGTGCATGAAAACAATGAACCGGTTTAGTTCATTGTTGAGGTCTGGAAAGTGACTTATAACTGCCAACAGCCACACTATTTAGACTGTTATCTCATTGGTAACCACATCTCCTTATTTTAGTACGGGTTAATTATTTGAAATAAATGACTT